CCATTGTTTCATAAAAGCGACTTTCCACTTGTCTACAGTCATGCCTTCCTTTCTGAATATGACCCAGTTAACTTTATTTTAAAATACATGGCATTTCTTGAGCTTTAGCATCATTTGGGCAGCTTAAAGTATTTTAAAAACATCTTCCAAATTTTTTAGATGTTCTTTAAATGTCTTCCTCAATACGATGATGTCTTCCAAATACACCAGGCGTGTTTTCCAGGATAACCCTCTTAATACATTTTCAATAAGTCTTTCAATTACCGCTGGGGCATTACATAGTTCAAATGGCATGACATTAAATTGCCACAATCCAGATCCTGTATCCATTTCCACTTGCCAATATCCAGACTTCAACTCTAAGGTAGAAAATAGTTAACTTTCAACCAATGTGTCCAAAATATCGTCGATTTGAGGCAGAGTTAACTGTATTTCTTGTAAACATTGTTCAACTGACGGTAAATTACACAGAACCATGTAGTTCCATCCATCCATCCATCCATCCATCCATCCATCCATCCATCCATCCATCCATCCATCCATCCATCCATCCATCCATCCATCCATCCATCCATCCATCCATCCATCCATCCATCCATCCATCCATCCATCAATCCATCAATCCATCAATCCATCAATCCATCAATCCATCAATCCATCAATCCATCAATCCATCAATCCATCAATCCATCAATCCATCAATCCATCAATCCATCAATCCATCAATCCATCAATCCATCAATCCATCAATCCATCAATCCATCAATCCATCAATCCATCAATCCATCAATCCATCAATCCATCAATCCATCAATCCATCAATCCATCAATCAATCCATCCATCCATCCATCCATCCATCCATCCATCCATCCATCCATCCATCCATCCATCCATCCATCCATCCATCCATCCATCCATCCATCCATCCATCCATCCATCCATCCATCCATCCATCCATCCATCCATCCATCCATCCATCCATCCATCCATCCATCCATCCATCCATCCATCCATCCATCAATCCATCCATCCATCCATCTATCCAGAAAATTATCACATTGTGTTTGATTTTATTAATATAAATAATATTCTTCAAAGTGACTGTTTAGTATATTTGATTTTTTGCATATATAGGTTATTTTGAGGACAATTGTATATAATATACAAATCTTCGTGAAAATGACCGGTATATGCCGATTGATATACCGGTATATATAGACAGTGTATAAGATATATACCGATCATTTTGAGGAAGTTTATACTCGTATATACCTTCCTCAAAGTAACCGCTAGACATATATATATATATATATATATATATATATATATATATATATATATATATATATATATATATATATATATATATTATAATAAATTTTTGAGATCCTTCATTCGAGTACCAGTGAAATAACAAAGAAAAGTGAAGTAAGAAAATGATTGAGATCCGAAAACTGAAACGCAATTTTTTGAAATATGTATCTATAATCTCTAACTCCGCCTATAAAATTATGAAAAATATATCCTCACATCCCCTAAGTGAATTTTTCTTTGGTTTGCTTAAGCTTTTTTTTCTAAATAAAATAGATTATAAACATTGAAATGATTCCAATTTAAAAAATGTGAGTTAAAATCATTAGGTAATTATTAAATTTGATTACTAATAATATGGTATTTAGTTGTTGATTGATAATAATTATAGTAAATGAGGGTTAATGTTTTTCTAATAGCAGCAATAATGGATATACTTATAAAGTAAAATTAATTCTAAAACTATCAAGTATTTTATCAATATTTATAGAATTTTGTTGCATTTGTATTTATTTAGTCAAAAAAACAATTTTTTTACATCAATACATATCTTCACATTTAAAATAAAATAAAAAGACATAAGTATACAGGTCAATGTACATGTAAAATGATAACATAGGTAATGTCAACTTTACATACAAAACATAATAAAAGAGGAAGAGAGAAAAAAAAACATTAAATGATCAGCAAGTACTCACGCAATTTTCTTATTGTTGCACTTGAAGAGTGTTTAATATCTTTAGGCAAATTATTAAAAGCCTTTATAGCTGCCCCACTCACAAATATAATCAACACAAGCCTCTTTACAGGCATCTTTTCTCAACTTTTTAAGCAGTCTCTAATTATTCCTATATATAAAAATGGCGAAAAGACAGAAATAACTAACTACAGACCAATAGCCCTGATTTCTTCAATAGGGAAAATTCTAGAAAAAGTGGCTTCCTGGAAAAAACAAATTGTTATCAAAAAGACAATATGGATTTAGGGAGGGAAGTTCAATGGATGACGCAATAAGAGAACTAGCTAATACAATTTACTGTTCAATTGACAATAAAAAAACCATCAATAGAAATCTTTTTAGACTTGGCTAAAACTTTCGACACCGTCAATCATTGTCATTTATTAAATTCCCTTGAATATATGGGTATAAGGGGTATAGCCAATAAATTAATGAAGTCTTACTTAACAAACAGAAAACCAAAATACAAAATATCACCAACATCGATCATGTGGTGTACCTCAGGGAATAGTATTGGGGCCTCTACTCTTTATAGTCTACCTGAACAGCCTCTTTTTAGTTGAAAGTAAAGCAAATATTATTAGCTTTGCAGATGGCACAGTAGTGCTTTACGAAACTACTACTAATAATAATAAAGGTCTTTATTTTATTAATCCTCGGCGAAGTCCAGCAGAGCTGTTCAGCTTAACCGAGTACCATTTACAAAAAATAATATATGTATATATAACAATATTAAAGGTTTAAAAATTAAATATTGATTATTAATTTGAACATCGTAAATAAATCATATACACTCGACAACACAATATACAAGATTAGATAAAATGCCAAATAAAAAAGAAATAAAAAATAAGATACATTACAATAACAGAACAAAACTTATTAACATATAAATAAAAGAGACTTGATGGTTTTTTTTAAGTTTTCAACTGATTAGAATTGTTTAACCTGATTTGACTGGAATAATTTGAAAAAATTGGCAGAGGAGGATTTCTCCAAAATAAAAACATGGTGTGACTACCGATTACTATCTATAAATTTTTAAAAAACAGTATACCTAGCTTTTGCAGACTAGCCTCCGGTTTTCCTCAATTTCAAAATATCACTATCGGGAACAACACATATATACCCTGAAAATAAACTTAAATATTTAGGAATAATAGTAGATACCAACTTGCGCTGGGACAAACATACTCAATACTTACTCAACAAATTACGTAGTGTTCTTATTTAAATTCATACAAGTATGGATAGAAATATTTTGACACTTGTGAAATCATTAATGTCAATCATGGCACACTAGTTTATCGAATAAAAAAAACAACTTAATTTTTTGTGTATTTACCAAACTAATGAAAAAACTAAAAATGCGAATTTTGTCATGAAATTTGGTATGTGGGGTTAGAATAATATTCGGAACAACTTTTTCAAATAACTTTTTCTGATATCTCTAACGCGAAGAAAAATATCGAAAATTGATCCTGTTTGTGGATTCGCAGAAGGCCGCGTTTAAAATTTAAATTTCAGTTGAGTATCTTGAAAAATGGGAACCATCACCATGTATAACTGTGCAAAATTTCAAATCTGTAATTATTTAGATAGCCAAAATATAGGGGTGTCTTCATCTTAAATGCGACACACTGTATAATGAACGTGTTGACTGCCAGATAAAAACCTGAAACTCTCAGAATGTACTGTTCTTACCTTAGAGGACCGTACCACTTGTTTTAGTATTTTTATGTTTAGTGCATGTGCAAGTACAACAAAAATCAATTCAATTTTTTTATTTTATAATCTTATAAATTCAGTTTTTCTTGATGTTTTTTCGCAAATACAGATTAAGTATATCCTACCTTTTTATCGAACTTCAGGTGTTTTAATATCTAACAGTTATTTGGAAAGAAATAAAAAATTGAGTTGATTTTTGCTGAAAAAAAAAAAAAGGACTCGCACATGCACTAAACATAAAAATAACAAAACAAGTACGGTCATTTAAAGTTAAAGGTAAGAACAGTAGATTCTGAAAGTTTCAGATTTTTATCTGGCAGTCGACACGTTCATTATATAACCTGAATAATACAATTTTTGAAAATTTCATAACTTCAAGCAAAGTTTTTTCTGCAAAGAGTGGGCTGCTCAGGTTGACTTGTGGCTGTATTTTATCTCTGGGGAACATAAGCTGCTAAGTCTAAGCAGTTAAGACGCTAGGTCGATTGAAATTCACAAAAAATGATCAAAAAACACTCATTTTCAGCAAGCTGCCGTTAATCAGAGGTATTGACTGAGCAAATTATCGATGCTTACACTTAAACTACTATCTTTCCCCCCTCAGAAATCCGCTTTAATAATGTAGTTATCTTCAAAAAAAAAAAAAAATTTAGAGGAAAAGTCGATAAGGCTTAAAAATATCGATTTTTTAAAGTCTTTATTTAAATAGGTGGAAAGACGTGCTTATAAAAATCGAACTCGTGTAAATTTTCTTCTTTGGGACCCTAAGGAATAGTTCCTTAAAGTTGCACCAAAATCTAAAATGGATCGGCAACAATTTTTTTTATTTTCAGACGATTTTGTATGGAATGACTCCATAGGTTTATGTTTATTTTGAAAAATATGGATGATCAATCTATGTAACTATCTATTTCATTGACCTTGTCAAATCACAAGGCCTGCAGGGTTGCCATAATTTTGCTATATCATAACCTGTCAAAACCCACTGGTAGCCATTTTGTTTGGAATGCCTAATTGTATTGTTATAGTTATAAGTTTTATTTATTATTATTTTGTCATATTTTTTGACACACACAATCTGTCATTGTACTTTGTACAAGGAGCAGATTCAGTGATACGTTTCTTATTTATTTACATTTTATTTCCTATTGTATCTGAATGTATATATTTCTGGTAAATAAACATTATTATTATTATTATATTAAGTCAGAGTTATTTTAGGACAGACAAAATATAAATATGGCTCCAAACGGTGCCCAGATGAGCTCACAGCAGATGGGAAATCAAATGGCCAACCAAATAAGACTACAGCAAATGCAAAACAATAGCATGAATCAAATGGGTAATCATCTGGGCGGACCATTACAAAACACGGTTCAAAATCAGATGAGTAACCAAATGCCTGCTCAGATGCAAGGGCAAATGCAAATGGCCAGCAGTATGGCCAATCAAATTCAAAATCAAATGATGGGTAAGTTGTTCCTAAATCTGTACTGAAGTTTATATTCTGTCATTGTGAACCCCAATATTTTGGTGGCGAGCTTATCATTAGTCAGTGCTTATTATTAGTGGCGGCTTTTGGACAAAAAATTTGGGGTTCACAATGACAAAATATAGATCTCAGTACAAATTTAAGTAGTTTTTATAATACACCTTTCCAAGACACTGAAAGCTTTTTACGTAAATCTGTACTGAGACCTATATTCTCTCATTGTAAACCCCCCAATTTTTTGGCCATCAGCCGCCACTGCTTATCATTCAATGTCCGAATGAGTAATTAGCCCTGAAAGTAGTTGTTATGTGTTATAAGGCAGCCATACAACCCATACTAAAAATTGAGTTAAATTATGATATCACCCAATATATCACTATAATTTTTACATATTTTTCATTTTAAATAAATTTCTAAAATGGACGTCCTGTATAAACTCAACTGCCTTATCTATTTTTGCGTTTTTGTCTTTATGAACGAATTTTTTGCGCCGCCTATTGTTTTTGCTACTAAATTTTATAGACCAATTTCAATTGTTCTTTGTCAACCTATATTACTATTACCATAAAAATATATTTTAATAGCATATTATTGTGTTAAAGTATTGTTTAATTCCAGTAGTTTTTTAATAAGTGAGGTGAGTACTTTTAAATAAATATTGTTTAAAATAAACAATTTATTTTCATTAGCTACAAAAACGGGATTAGTTTTTGTAAAATATAAATGTGGCCATTAAATGAAAATACAACTTATTTAGGCATTTTTGTTTCTAGTTTTATATTCTGATGATTAATTCAAAAAATAAGTAATAGTTCTATCCATTGTAATTTGCTGTGTCTCACTTTAAATTGCGCCATCCCAGTATTTTGTTTAAATATCGATTTAAACCATTTTTTTTTCACATGCCCTTCATTAAATTGTATTTTTAGGGTAAGGTAAGGTGGGGTAAGAGTTTAGTAAAATTATGCAAGTTTATTTATATGTACTCGTAAAAATCCAACCAAAGAAAATAATTAAATTTCTTGACATCAGTACGTTACTTGTTGTCTTTCTAATATGCGGTAGTAGCAAAATCATTAAAATGTTAAAACTTTTCATTTTGTGCTATTTTTTTTAAAACAAGGTATGTACTACACACTTACCCCTTAAAGTGGTGGCAAGTGTGTTCTTAGTGTATATTTTGCTTATTTATGCATTTAAAGAGATCAGGGGCATGTGTGTAAGTCTCAAAAGAACAATGTTCAGGTTACGGTCGATATTAGGTCCAGTAATTTTGTCACTTTTTCCATAAAGATTAAGTAAAACCATAATATTTTTACACTTTTTAATATTCTATAAGTGTGCACTAACCTAATTAAAGTAACAAATATTATTAAAACACATTTGTAAGCTAAAAAATTAAGAATATACATTTATTCACTACATTCTCACGTAGCCATATTGTTTTTAATTTTTTCGATTTGACAGTTATACTAAGAGCGCCTGTGCGTGATTTTAGCGATGTTGCCAATTGCTTTTTGTTATTTGTTATAAATAATTATATTCATGGCAATACCGTTCTATATTATTTTTTATGAATAATATGACAACTGATATTTTTATTTCTATAAATGTGGAGTTGTCAAACATAGTAAAAGAACGTACATAACAGGAATGACAGTGGCTGTTTTTTCAATAGCTCCAAGCCAAATGATAAAACCAGAATATTGTTATGTGAGCCATTTCATTATTCAGTCATGCTCTAACCCTACAAGTCCCTCTCTGTCTTATTTAGCCTTTGAGGCTCAACGACTATGGTGGAGTCACTTTCGCGAACATTCCAGGGTCAACGAGATACTATTTCTAGAACGTGATAACGTTTCTGGTACATACTGGCAATTTTGGTGGGGGAGCATTCTCGACCACCAATTTGTATATAAATTGGTGGAGGAGAGCCATCAGGATCAGTAGTTATATGGACAGTGCAGATAAATAGTAATTAGTAGATAGACAGTGGTGAATATAAATAGTGATCAGTTTAAAGACATTCGAAGTATATATAAATTAGAAATAGTTGTGTTATAAATAAATAAGTGTTTAAATAAATTATTAATAAATAAACTGTTGTTTGAAGTAAACAAACATCACAATATAAATGTGTTTATATAAGACTTTTCATTTCAATTATTCAATTTGAGCTGTGTCCAGGCCGTTGGAGTCTATGCCGGTCGGCGTAGCCAGGTATGGGTTGATGTTTTTTGGTGGCGGCGAAGCCGCCACTCTACGATAAGTCGTTGCTTCGTTTTCTTGTTACATACTTATGGACTGGTATGCGCAATCGCAAGAAATTATGTAAAAAAGTTTACGTTTTCAATTCAATTTGAGCTGTGTCCAGGCCGTTGGAGTCTATGCCGGTCGGCGTAGCCAGGTATGGGTTAATGTTTTGTGGTGGCGGCGAAGCCGTCACTCTACAACTTATCGTTGCTTCGTTTTCTTGTTGCATATTTATGGATCGTTATGCGCAATCACAAATTTCCATTAACTACTAATTTTATCACAATCTGGCAACGTTGTAATTAAATTTACTAAATTTGACAGAAACCATCCAGTTTCCATGTATACAGTCGTCAAAATGCTGATTTTTAAAGAAATCAAATAATTTTTTTTTGGCTTAAATAATGCATTTACAGCAATTTTTTTTTTTAATGTACTATTTAAAATACGCTCTTTCTGATAAAAAATAAATTTCCTTAAAATTTTACTGGACCTAAAGTCGACCGTACCCCAATGTTCAATGTGCTATAAACATTTATAAAAAAGGAAAATCGATCTATGAGTTACAAACTTTTTATTTAAAAATAATAAAGAAACGTAAAAGTTACAATTGCTAAATTAAACTAAAAATCAAATTTAAGTATGCAAAAATAGAAAAAATACATTTTTAACCATTAATTTTAGATGATATAGTTTTATTGTATATTATATGCTGAAAAATTTAGTTTAAACCGTATTAGACCACGTTTAGTAAAGGTCTGTTTAGGAAGGGTTAATGTTATATCCTCTCTACCAATAATAGCTCATTCATCTGGATATTTCCTCGCAAAAGTTGAAGAGGATAAGGGATCTAAGGAAGGTACTTTTTTGGTAAATTTCATTTTCAATTCTTCTTTATCTTTCTTTGCCTTAATAACTTGACCAACATAGTATTTTTAAATTTTTTTCTAACAAAGTCAAGCTGCGTTGACATGGATCAAGTGACTTGATCAACTCACTTGAATTCAAGTGAATTGAACGCTTTTTGAACGTGTAAACCCCTAAGTAATATGACTTGATTCATTTCACTTGAAAGAATCGCCAGTTGAACAAGCGTCAACTTTTTCGTTCAAGTCGACGAATTCAAAATGGCCGGCACTGGGTGGACCGAGGAAAGACCGATGAAATTTGTTGTTGTTTATCAAAAATATTCATGTTCGTGGAACACAAAAAGTGTTGAATACAGAAATGGAGATTTGCGGGCAAGTGCGATCAACAAAATTATAGACGAAATGCGTGAAAATGGAGTTTCCGTGACTACGGTGGATGTAAAAAATCGTATAAAAAGCATTTTAAAAATATTTTTATAATCTTCTGGTTCTTCATCTTTTAGTTCTTGTATTAACCTTGCCGGTGTCCCTAGTTCACTTCTTCCTTTAATCCATTCTCTACACCAGAATCTTCTTTTACGTCGAACAGTTTTGTTGACAATATTTTTTTTTTTTCATTTCATTAGCAATATCTAAAACTGCTTGTACAATAACACGATGTATCTTTCTCGGCGCCATTTTTTTACTGAAATGCCTTCATGCGAAATGAAAACGTGTAAACCTTTTCAAACGTTCAATTCACTTGAATTCAAGTGAGTTGATCAAGTCACTTGACCCATAACAACGCACTTTAACACTCAGTCACTTTTAGTGCCAAAGGTTTATCCATTTCCGTCATGCATGCATCAAGTTCTTCCATCTCTTTAATCTCTTCATTTATATCGTCATCTCTGTCATTAAATATATTTTCATTTTTTCTCCATTTTTCTCTTCTTCAAAGTTTTGACTTTTGCTTCCTTCCATGAGACTTTGAACTTTATCATTTGTTATGACCTCCGCACCTTTAGCCACTCTTCGTTTTTTTACCTTTTCAGTAGGATTTGATTGTTTAACCGTAGCCAACAGTAATTCTTGGAAGTTTACAGGTTTATCTACGTTTCTCCCAGAGAGACCTGGCTGCAACGAGTGACTTTGATTGTTATTCACCACCTGATCAGGATTACGTTGTTGGTCCTCCCATCTCTTATACGCTGCAGGATCATATTTTTCTTTGGTAACTACGTTAGAGTTAAAAGGATAAATGCCACCTTTTCTAAAACCGTTGCAAATTATCTAAAGGTTCCGTTTCTTTCCAAATTTGTCCTATTAATGAACTAAACTTCTTTTTGGGTAACTTTCTTCTCTTATTATGTCTCTGCCATTGGACAAGTGTTTGATCCCACTTTATTTTTAAGGAATTGAAAACACTTAAATGTGAGATAAATGGGGCGGAAGCTTAAGGATTGTTACTCTATTATCGCGGGCAACTTTTATTAGTTTGTCATCGACGTAAGACACGTGACCAAATACTTCTAATAAAGTTTTTTCGAAGCAATTTAAGAACAGTTGAGATTCCATCCATCATTGGCAGTCGCGGCATATGAAGTTCCTGGGTATTCGTCTGTAGAAGGAGCAATCCAGTCATCCCACATGTTTTTTGCTTTAAACACAATTTAACTTCAAAATTATTGTATTTAAATGATTTATCAGCTTGTATACTATAATACCCTGAATAGCTACTTCAAAAAACACGTGTTAACATGGTTTTGTAATGTTTTATTAAATATCTCTTAACACGTTAAAGACCGCATTCCCACCGGTGGGTCACTCCCCAACAACATCACCGGCCCGCGTGCTCACGGGTGGGCACACCAAAATTTTTTACCTGCCTTGGGACCGCTTGTACACTGGTGGGTATGATTTAAATTCAATTTATGTACAGTAGTTCATTCGCTGGTCCCTCGAAGAGATACTGCATATAGCGGCCAGTTAATTTGACATAGCCGCATTTTAAAACGATTTTTTTTTTGAATCAAACAAAATTAACGAGTTTAAGATTTTCAAGGTGAAATAAAAATAAAAAATCATTTAGAACACAACTTTTAATATATTATTCAATGTTTGTGCTACAACTTATTTAGTTTCGTCAAAGCTAGAATGTGCAAGACAAACTGACTCATCGGTGGGCATGCTGTTTACAAAAGTAAATTTACACGTTGGGACTGGGTGATCACCCATGGGTACTTTAACTGAAATAAATCTAGAGGTTAAATGTCAACCTCAAATTTTTGTACATTAAAAACATATTTAAAAAATAATATACGTAATTAACAATAAAAAAATGCCGATCCCTATGTGAGAAATAAGATTTTTCAATGCGGTTTTCAACGTGTTAAACAATGTTGAAAATCCAATTAATTAAGGAACAAAATAAAGAATGTCTTTAACAGGCACTAACGCCTACTTGCTTATCTTCGCCCAATTGAAATTTAAGTGCCTCTTCTCGGATGCTGCACGATGTGGTACCGTCGACCCCAGTGGCGGCAGTATCCTAATTCGTTGACTCTAACAACACCATGAAAGTACAATATAAATCTTTTTTAGGTGGTATACCTCAATTACCTCAACAAAAGCCTCAGGGCATGATCATAAACCAAATTAATCCAAATTTTCCACGTAATCCAACTCCCAATCAAATGTTCAACCAAAGTCCTTCTCCGTCAGTCCAATCTCCTGCGGGATTAGGCAGCCAGCCTCCAGTGGCGTCACCGGCGCTGGCATCGTCTCCCGGAGCTCAAATGAATATGATAGGCAGCACCGGTCCTCCCAGATCTATTGGCTTAGCTCCTAGTCCCGGAAGCTCTTTGAATACTCCCGGACAACCGAGTCAGAGTCCGATGGCTGGAGGCGCAATGTCCGACGAACAGGCGTACAGAGATAAAGTTAGACAGTTAAGCAAGTACATTGAGCCGCTGAGGAAAATGATTGCTAAAATGGGGAATGATGGTAAGTGTTTTTTTTTTATCTCAAAATCAAGATCTAGTTGATTTTTTTTAACACTATCAGTCTGTAGTCAGCTGAGCCACTATTTGAGATATACAAACTAGTACCGGGTTTGTAGTATAGATAGTTCTTGTCAATCAGATAGATCACATTCTTAATTTTGTTTTAAATATTATATTAAAAATTATCGAAACAAGTGTAAAGGGCAATTATAGATTAAAAACTTTATTCGACCAATTTCTGTTTATATATATAAAAAATGTAAAAAGTTCTGTATCTGTAATGAGTGAGGGGTGGGTTGCACACGGTACTTAGTCCTCATTAGGCCCATTGTGCATCTTCCTAAAATGATAGGCCCTTTTTAGTTCGTAAACCTAAATATTTAATGTAGTTGGCAACTTTGCCAGGAGATGATTTTCTTATTAATTATTAATAGTAATTAATATTAATGATAATTAGTAATAATTAATAATTAATTTAGTATATTTTAATATGGGTTTTCAACTAATATACTTTTTATAATATTCCTTAATAAAGTTGCTGATCTAATTGATTTTAAGGCATCTGACAGATGATTAAAGATAATCCAGTTGTTTAGAGTTAACCCAACTGATAAAAATTTGTAGATGTGGAAAAATTGAGCAAAATGAAGAAGCTACTGGAGATCTTATCGAATCCACAACAGCGCATGCCTCTGGATACGTTGTTGAAATGCGAAATAGTTTTGGAAAAAATCGATTTTAGAAGAGGCGATAGCAGCGTTCCAACTTCAACTGCTCAATTGCCATTCAAGGAGCCACATGTCTTCCATGCTCTTTTGGATGCTGTGAACAGCAATTTACAAAGTCCTGTTATCAATCACACATTACATCGCACTTTTGGACCAACGTTAGATGCTCTCTTTGGACCGGAAATTAAGTAAGCACAAACATTTCAATTTGAATATTACCTATATTAATGATCTAACAGTTTTATCAAGGATTTGATAGTTTAAATTTCCATTTTTGTAATGAAATTGATATCTGGCTTCCATGGAAAATCCAGATTGTCCACTTTTTTTAAAACATGGGAATAAATGTCAGGGCATATGATATATACAAAGATCAATATCCAAGCAGTTGAATTAAAAAAGTAATAAGTAGTTACATAGTTAATAGTAATTTTATTAACAACCAGATTTGTATATTAGTATGATAAACATGTAAATGAGCTACATATTTTTACAAAGATGTTTGTTTTAAAAAATTTCTCCTCCATGACATATAAACTTGTGGCTAGTTCTCGCGAGATATCTCGTTTGTGATCTGTGGATGAAAGTATCGTCATGTGAGATATTTCGTCAGTGGCCTCTAATATACGAGATGTGGCAGAAAAGTAGTGACTGATTTTTTACTTTATAAAGTTTTTATTTCTTTCAAACATCAATGTTATCGATTTCAAAGTAGTTTCCTTGGGCAGCTACACACCGATGGAGATGTTGTTCCCACTGTTTGTAGCAGCGCTGGAAGTCTTCAACCGTTATGGTTTTCAGCATGTCTGTTAGTCTTTAAGTCCCAAAATGACGGCCTTTGAGGACATTTTTCAGTTTAGGAAATGAAAGAAGTCACAGGGACTGTGGTCAGGGGAACAGGGGGATGGGGAACCACAGGAATGCCTTTTAGGTCAAAAATTCTGTTATAGAGAGGGCAGTGTGACATGGGACGTTGTCATGATGGAGCAGCCATTTCTTTGCAATGTCTAGTCTCACGCCAATGACCTGTTGAATCCTAATCATTTCAAATTTTTATTTGTCACTTCAAGGGGTAATTTATTAAACAATTTATCAAGTCACGTGTAATTTGAGCTGCCTATTAGTAGATTCAAATATATTTACAGGGATTTTGAGACCGAATCACGATTGTAGATTCGTACCATGAAAAGACCTTTGAAAAGGTCAGTGCGAAATAAACCGTATCGAGAACCGGCAAAATTAAATTTTTGGTGCAAAACGTTCTTATTTGTAAAATTAGAAAAAAAAACCTGTGGTAGGAAAACATTGATGTTTGAAAGAAATAAAAACTTTGTAAAAGAAAAAATCAGTCTCATTACTTTTCTTCCACACCTCGTATATCGTTCGTGGCATTGAATTGATTAACTACCAATGCTTACAACAATTTATATTTCATCAAAATAAAATATGATTGTAAAAAATCAATATTTTATAAAGGCATATTATGATATAACTCACTGCCCAATACTTTAAAACAAATAAAAAATAGAACAGATTTAAAACGAACTAAAAAATATAATTTATTTTGAAAATTTCAGAAATCTTATCACAATTTTTAAAAATCACAGAAAATATTTTCGTCAGCCTATCTGCCTTTGCCTCTGCACCAGAGATAATAATAGGAGATGTAACTAGAAACAAATATCGTGCTGTCGAGAATAAGACATATTCTGTAAAACTCTGTATAATGCAGGTTTGTGAACGTGCAAAACTATATTTTTGTTATTTTTTCTCATTCTTGTCAACCTTTAGACGAATCGTTTGCGCAGAAAAGTTTTCAACTAAAAAACAAAATTGCTTGTGCCTTAACACTTTCCCGATTTTGTCACACTATAAATATCTTTAAAACCATTGTGAAAATATACAGAACGGCAACGCCGTATTATCATATGCAAGTATATTTGAACGTCGGTTCGTATTGTACGTTGACATAATTTGACATGCCGTTTGCATTTCTAATTTGTCAACCATTATTTTGACATGTGACGTTTGCTTTTCTGAGATTGGTTAACCATTAGTGTCGCCGAAGATCCAATGGATAGATAACTCAGCCTTGCCTGTCGCATTAGTGGTGAACACGGTATACTAAAATGACATGATAACGCGTCAATTTTAAAAAATGTGTCCAAATTTGCAAATTAAAATCATGCTTTTTGTAATAATTATCAAACATACAGCCTTTATATTGTGGGAAAGTTAATAAAAAATAAAAATTGAAAATAATTTGCTCATTAATCCTTGCAATAAAATTTTTAAAGTTTTTAATGATAATGTCAAGTTATGATTAGTTATTGTGGAATATGTTTATGTTCAATTCATTCTTACAACATTGCTGTTGACAATTATATTGCAATGTCCTTGTAATTTTTCTTTATTATTATAAAAACCATGATTTACTAACACGTTGTTAAATGACAGAAACGGCCGCCATTTTTAGTGCATTTCCCAGCCTTAAAAATAAAATTATGAATTGAGCTAGTGGTACAGTTATCGCCATCTATGTACAATGTATTGTGTTTTAAACTACTTAAAACATTTTCACTCGAACGGCGTGCGTGATTCAATTTAAAAATACTTTCCAGAATAAAACCATGTGTTCTGGTTTTGACTTCGTTTATTATTAAACGGCGAAATTATATACAAAAACGTTACTCCCCAATCTAAATTAGGTACTATCACAAGAAAATCACTGTTACAATTAATTACTTAACCAAAAAACTAGAGTACTTATTAATAAATTTAAATGAGGAGAGAGCGATCTTACTACCGAAACGGTTAAACCGAAAAAGAGCGTACTTAAGGTACGTAACCAGAACGGGACTGGAACATTTATCCCAATATTGATTTTCTCTCTCCCTACTTAAGGGTAAAACTTAAAGCAATAACAAATTGCCTATCTACTAAGGTCGGTAACTAAACGTATATATAGAATGGGCGGATTTTGTTCATACTTAACATTACACTCGCGCACTGACACTTAACCTGTATTAAATATAATTATACATATTAATATTTACAAAGATACTTTTCCAAACATATTGAATACATACTTGCTTTATTACAAAACGGCAGCCTTAATGTTAAGTTGGATATCAAGTATTTTGTACTAGATGTGGCCACAGGGCTTGCATTGTGTACGTTGTAACATGATAAAATTGTTTTGTTAAACCTTCCCTTACCTCTCACCACATGTCTTTTCACTCCTGATTTACAACTGGACTGTATCGACTGAAGCTATATCTCCTGTTATCTCTCTGCTGTGCACTCACTTGCGTCTTAAGTCACGAGATACTCTGTCCACTGTAGCTCATTACATTTTGTTAATATTTCAGGTTAGTTCCACCATTAAAAAAAGCTAAAATTGAAGAACAATCCAGCGACATTCCGGACGTCCTTCAGGGTGAAATCGCACGATTGGATCAGAAATTCAAAGTTTCCTTAGATCAAAATCAACAGCCAGGTTCAAAATCGATTCTGCTGATTTGTTGGTTGGACGACAAGCATCTCCCTTGCGTGCCGCCCGTATCATTGACGGTTCCTGAAGATTATCCGATAACGTCTCCGACTTGTCACATGAACCCCCACGAATACAACGCTACGCAATTTTTGTCGGCAGTTCAAGCGGCTCTGTTGGCTAGAATTAAGAAATTACCGAAACATTTTTCAGTATCGCAACTTTTAGATACATGGGAAATGAGCGTTAGACAGGCGGCTGCTCCTCATCAGATTCCCGTTAACACTACCACTATAATGATGGGCTTGTGAATCTTTTTTTATTGATATTACCAATTTTTTAAGCTAATATTTTATATTTGTATTAAATTAGGTTTATAGGTGGTTTTAAGGTTTTTTTATTGCAGTCTTTTTTATATCTGATTTATGAGTGATAATTGCAAAATATTATCTCATATTATATAGAGTTTGTTTTATGATTAAAAATAAATAACATGTATATGTAATCAAGAAATTTTGTTTCACTTATTTTACGTAAAATGGTTGCGAGTGAAGATTAGATTAGAAAAAATTTATTTACAGGTTTAAGAAATAATTATATACATATCACAGTTAAATAAAATATATCGGCACTATCGAGTTTACAAGACTTTTCGTGCGGGCCCACTGGATCATGGTGAACATGTTCGCCTATTAAACTTATCTGCGATTTAAAATTGGGAAATATAACGGCTCTCACTCCTTACCGATGCGGTATCATTGAGGGATTATGTTGGGTTTTGGATCGGGAATGGGAAAGTGTTTATATCTTAGTTATGGCTTAGTCCCCTGAAAAAGTTAGAAAAAACAGGGTTGTCTTTGTGTGTACGTTGGGCACGTATAGTCTTTGTTTGATACTACAGCTCACTTGCAGGATGAACGATGGATCCCCCGCCAGTGCATGAACCGCGAATGTAAAGAGTTCGCACTCGGTGCTCTAGCGGCTGATCCACCGCGGAGTCCGCTGTCCGACTAGATGGTGTAGATACCTAGTCGAAGTGAGATGTTATTTAGTTTGTCGCTGCTATGAGGGATGTTATAGTCTTTGTCTGTAAATGTCGAGTCTTGAATGTATGCAACCGTGCTTTCTAAGCACGTTGTCCTTCCGATATATGCTCAAGATATCTTTTACATAATCGGGAACACATCGCAGGTAGAAATTTTCTGCTGTCTTGAGTATGAAGTCTTTGATTAAAAGGGTGTCTGTCTGGGCGTGCATGTCTGCTATTCGTGCATAGCGGTCGTAGCCCAGCGCTAGCCTTAGACATCTGTTTTGGGCGCTTTGCAATTTGTTATATATTTGCCATCGAGTAGAAAACCGGACAGCCGTATGTCAAGATGGGTCTAAGGATGGTTGTAAACATTAATAGCGTGACTCTGCTCCTTCTGTTCAATAATGGGTATAGCGTTTTTATTGCTATGTGGTTTTTATTCACTCTGTCCTTAGTATGTAGGTCAAATGTTAACCCCCTATCCAGCTGAAAACGCAGGTATTTCAATTTTTTGCCTGTGGTGATTTGCTGATTATCTATTGAAAGCGGTGTTAAAATGCCCTGTCTTGCGTTTAGTAATCAACATACTTTCAGTTTTGGCTGCATTAATTTTCATTTTATTTTCAGCTAAATAGGGGATTAATGTCTCGTTTATATGGCTATCCAGTTCTCTTACTGCTGTTTCCGCGGATCTATGGCTCTTGAATAGACAGATGTCATCGGCGTACAGTGCCGTTTGTATCCAATTAACACTCACAGTATACAAGTGAGGCGACAGTCGTTGTGTTGTTAATCTTTACATTAAATTGTCTGTCTGTAATGTATGACTGAATTATTTACAATGTGAACGGGAAAATCATTCACAAGCATTTTGTGAATTAACCCACATGTCCACACGGTATCAAAAGCTTTTTCGCTGTCAAGCGCCACGAGCACCGTTTGTAGGTCATTATTACATGCCTCTTTAGCGCTATGCACGATTATGATGACCTGGGCCACGGTGCTGTGTCCGCTTCTGAAACCGTACTGTTCCTGCGGGATAAGTCGTAATTGTTCTTCTGTTTTTCTAAGTCTGTTTAATATAATTGTGTCTACTATTTTAGATATTGTATTTAACAGCGAGATGGGTCGGTAGCTATCAATTATATTGGGATTTTTTCCCGCTTTCAAAATTGGTATGATATTTACAATCTTCAGGCTACTGGGAATGTTGTAGCCTGAATATTGCGTTTTTATTACATAATAGAGTTGCACAATCCCCTTTTTAGGGATGTTTTTGAGTAAAACGTTACTAATGTCATCGGGCCCCGGAGCTTTTTTATTTTTGAAACGTTTAATTGTGTCCCCTACCTCTTTAGGAGTGGTCATAAAGGAGTGGGGTACGTGGACTGGGTCAGACTCTCCGAGGGGGTCGATTCTCGACTTTTTTCCTATAGGAATTTGGTTGATTTTCCTATAGGAAAGTAGGTTACGTATTCTGGAGTCAAGTTGTAGGAATATTTTCCTAAGCAGTTATAGGAAATGATTTCCCATGCTCATGAGACAGGGAATTTAATTTTCCTACAAGATTTTGTAATCGCGCTTGCGCAATAGTAGCTTGTTTAATGTGGTTTATTGATTTATGCTTACTTTTTAGGCGATTCGAAACTCATTTAAAAAAGAAACATACTACATATATTATTAAAAGTTAATTTTAATTTGACGAGTAAAATTATCCTATTGAGTCAATAAATAAAGTAGACCAAAATCCATAAATTTTTTATGAAAATTTACCAAAGAAACTAGTTACTTTTGAGTATTTTTTTGCGAAATTCGCACATCAGGATTCCTCGACGGAGCCCAAACCAAGTTATAATGATGTATGATGTGAATTTTACTATAATTTGCTAAATATTGAAAGTATTATAGTTACTTTCTTTAGTTTCTATTTATAAATAACGGCAGGGCCGCCGAGAGCCAAGCCGGGCCCCAGGACAATTCTCTAGATCGGGCCCCGTGACAAAAAAACAGCTCTTCAAACAAAAACTTTTCCTCCTCTACTTGGATTCAATTTTCTAAAAAAAAAAAGCTTCCGAACCTAAAACTTCCCCCTCTCGTGTTTTGTCGAATTTCTTTTCTCATACAAAACAAAAATTCCAGTTGCCGGGCCCCCCCTTATACCGCTACCGGGCCCCATAAATTAGTCCCGGCTGCCCCCCCCCCTCTAGTCGGCCCTGAATAACGGTAATCACAATGGTAGTCCATCTGAAACTTTTTCGTTTTCTCTTTTTGCTGCTAATAAAAAAAATTAAAAATAAATAACCATCCAGAAAATCAAATATTTTTGACAAATTGTCAAATTGCCTTGTTGCCAACTGTTAAACAACTATATTTAACTGAAATAAATACATTCCATTGGCTCGTTTTTGCGTTATCTTGAAATTATCAACGACATACTGAAATTGGAACTCCTACAGGAAATTGGATTCCTATTGTACTCGAGAATACCGACAACTAAAACTGTAGGAATATTATCATAGGAATTCATTTTCCTCGGAATCGAATTCCTACAACTCGAGAATCGACCCCCAGGTCTCTGACAATGCTTTCGATGACGTTTTGATGCTCCTTGTTAACTGAATTGTTGCGGAAATTCGATTGAAAGTGCTCACCGAAGGCTTGAACTTTGTAGTGTGTTTCTTGTCCTTGTATCAATGTGGGAAGCGGCGAATAGGGTTTTTTATACCTCTTCACTACTTTCCACAGCGAATTGTCCTTCGGGTTAATTTCGGACAGGGTTTTTTTGCGAATTATTGTTTCGATGTTCATTTATGGCTGAATTGATGTGTTTCGCGATATCCATGAGCCTAACCCTGTCCTCAATTCTCCTGTAAAGCTGCCACCTTTTTCGTATTTGATTTTTGTTGGCTATTAGTTCTAAGATTTCGGATGGCAGCTTATCGTTATGTTGTGTCGTTGTTTTTAGTGTTGTCGTGTCGTTTCTAGCTTTTTGTAAGACATTTATGAATTCTCTAGTGGTTTGTTCAAGTTGTTCGGTGCTTGTTATACAGGGTGGCTCACGCTCAACGGGACGGAGCTTTATGGGAAAACGACCAAAGATATAAAAAATTCGTTTGGGAGGAATACGTAGGTTACAGACGGCTACAATTTAAAATTTGTTAGATGTATACAGGATGTCCCACATAAGAAAAAAAAATTAGTTCATTAAAAATTATTCAAACAAGAGTGAACAATTAATTTCTGGGACTTTTTTTCCTTAAAAATTCAAATAAATCGAAAACTAATAATAATAGTAATAGGGAACCTTTAGTTAACTGACATTATTTTTGATGTAGTTTTTAATTCTAAAATAAAAAACAGGGTGTTCCATTAAAAATAATATAACTTTGTATATTTTCTCTTATGTGGGACATCCTGTATACATCTAACAAATTTTAAATTGTAGCCGTCTGTAACCTACGTATTCCTCCCAAACGAATTTTTTATATCTTTGGTCGTTTTCCCATAAAGCTCCGTCCCGTTGAGCGTGAGCCACCCTGTATTATTGTTTAGTGTTAACGTCTGGTTGATTTTTTGTCTGTATGCGTTCGTCTGTCGTTTTGTAGTCGTAGTATTGTTTTTGTTGTCTATTTATTTTTTGTCTAGTCCTTATTTCCAAGCACACTGGATCATGATCTGAATTCATGGTACTAATAGTCCTTATGTTTTGAATATCAGGTATATTTTTGGTAACTACTATATCCAGTGAGCTTGGAGTTGTGCCATTGAATGGAGTGCACGTCGGTTCGTCCGTATAGTGGATAATGAGCTCGTTGTCCTCGGCGAAATCTCTCAATGAATTACCTGCGAGGTTGGCCTGATTGCAGTTCGCATCCCACTCGGGGTGTTTGCAATTGAGATCTTAAATGATTATGTTCTCTACATGTGGTTCTGTATTTACTTTAGGTATTTGTGCAAACTCTAAATTATTTCTGACAAGAATTGCGATCCCTCCCGCTGCCTGTTGTCGTACGTATCGTCTGTTGTGTCTCGGTCTATCCTGTCTAATGATGTTACAATCTCTAACTCTGATTTTGTCCGTTTCTTTGAGGTTTGTCTCTGTTAAAATTATAATGTCGAATTTATGCTTGTAAGTGAAATTTGTAACAAGACCGCGTTTATTTAACAGCCCGTTCACATTGTAAAAACAGATTCTGAGTCTGTCTTTATTTGTCGGGTTGAATTTAGTTTTTGAATTTGTAGCTGTTGAGGTTTTTAACTAAATTATTGTATGTTGTGAAGATGTCTCGTTCGTCTCTACATTGTCTGAAGGAATTGTTAAGATCCCGAACGTTGTGAGTGAAGAATTATGTGCTATTTCTATCGAATTCTGCTTTGTTTAAGTTATATTTGTCAAGAGACGAAGAGACCTGCATACATTTTTATTACTTTCAAATAGAACGGAGAAGAGTACATGGAGTAAATTGCGAGACACGACTCAGGAGTAAGCATGTGCAGTAAGCATTCATTGACCGTTTGTTTTTTGCTATTTGCAATTATTTATCGTTTCTTTTTCGTCATATTTTGGATTGTGCATGTGAAATTTTTTATTATGGAAATATCTGTGTCCGCTTACAGTGCTGCTGTTATGCAAAAAACGGTATAATATTCGATAACGATAAAATATTGGTTATTAAAAACAATGGTGTCATCCTTAATCATTGAAACATATTATTAAACTCATTCTTAGTTAAAATTCCCTTTTTTATTAAACAAATTATTATAGTCCATGGAATTGGTACTTTTTGCCTCACATCAAATGAGGTAGTTCTGATTTTTTTATATGATAGTAGTGATGAGATGGTTATGACAAATTCAAATTTTCCACCTCGAAAGCCCTTCGGATCATTGTTAAATACTAAAATATTCTTTAAATTTCAGGACTTTTTTTGGGTTTTGTAAATTTTACCACCAACGACCTGTGTTACTGCAAAAGTTGCACACTTTTTAAGTAGACTAAATTTGCAATGAAATGAGAATAATTTGGTTAGGCCAAATAATTTATAAGATACGGCTATTGAAAAGTTGAAAAATTAAAGAAAAAGGGCAGACACACAGACATCATCACGAAAATAGTCAAAACGGATTCATAGGAACCCTAAACGTAAAAAACTGTCGAAAAATATCATAATTCCTATACTTTCTTTATCTGTATACAGATAGGAAAGTAAAAATGACGTATTAAGTGAAAACCAATATGGGTTTAAACAAAGCACGAGCACTTGCGATGCAATGTTTGAACTGGTAAATCAAATTAAAATTAACCTAGACAAAGGTAATAAATGTGTAGCAGTATTTCTTGATCTGGCAAAAGCCTTTGAACAGTACCTCACGATACACTCTTAAATGTTCTAGAACAATATGGAGTGAGAGGTATTGTGTTAAAACTTCTAAAGAATTCTTTTTTTTCAAAGAAAACAAATGGTTAAAATGAAATATACGCTAAAAGTGACCCAGAAGAAGTAAAAGTAGGCGTCCCCTAAGGAACTGTTCTTGGACCAACTGTTTTTACTTTCCTATCTGTATACAGATAAGGAAAGTATAGGAATCATGATTTTTTCGACCTCCAGTTTTCGACGGATTTTTACGTTTTGGGGTCCCCTAAATCCGTTTTGACTATTTTCGGGATGATGTCTGTGTGTGTGTTTGTATCCACCATAACTCATGAATCGATATAAAGAAAAACACCAAATTTTAAACTTAAGCTTTATTCCGACGTCCAATGAATTGATTAGATTTTGGGCAGAGTCGGAACATCTGGGAGGGTACTTTATGTGTGATCATTTTAATATTTTATGGAATATATCTGATATTTACGTTTGGAGAAGAAAATGCTTCAAATAAACGTTACTTACAATAATATTATCAATATTTTTTGTTCTATATAAATCTGAAATGGTCCGTATTCGAGAAATTTGACAAAATGTAAAAAAAAATAAGTTTTTATAAAAATTGTTCAAATAAAACTTGTTTGTAATATAATTCTCTATAATTTTTATTATTTACATAATTTCTCTAAAATGGACCGTATTCGAGATATTTGAGAAAATGTGTAAATTTCCAATTTTGAAGAAAACTCAAAAACGGATAAAGAAAAAAACATTAAATTTTAAACATAAGTTTTATTTCGGCCTGACGTGAAATGATTAGATTTTGGACAAAGTCGGAACATCTGGGGGGTACTATGGGAGACCGTTTTTATATTTTATGGAATATATCTGTTAGTTATGTTTGGAGAAGAAAATTGTTCAAATAAAAGTTACTTCTAATATTATTATCTATAATTTTTGATATATGTCAAATTTTCCTCAAATGATCCGTATTCGAGAAATTTGACAAAATGTGCAAAATTCTGATTTTTAAGAAAATTGTTAAACTAAAAGTTGTTTGCGATATCGATCTCTATAATTTTTGTTTTTACATGATTTTTCTAAAATGGACCATAATGGAAAAATTGGAGGAAAAGTACTAAATTTAAATTTTTCAGTATTTTCGTTTTCAATGAATATCTATAGAAAAATGTTTCGAGGTAGATGTATGTGGAAAATATATATATTTAGTTTATCCTCTAAACATTTATAGAGGTGTTGCAATAGGTTGTACAAAATAACCGGAAAAAGCCTATAATAACTAGATAGGAAAGTCATGTGTTGGACACATCAGATTTTTAGTATAAATAAACTACTCACTGAAGACACATAATGGAACAGTAACTTCATATACAGATGACACTGCTATAATTTTTAATGATCACACTTAGAAAGATGTAAATTTCAAAGCTCAACTGGGTGAAGTTAAAAATTGGTTAGATTTTCATAAACTTTCCTTAAATGTTAGCAAAACTACGTTTTTAGCATTTTCAATAACAAATGTAAATCTACCGAATTTGAACCTACACATAAACAATAACTTCAAAATAAATATGTCCGAAAAACAAATTATTTAGGAATCATAATTGATCAAAATCTCAAATGGAATATGAACAAATACAATCTCCTGTAACCAAATTACAAAGGTTTATATACAAATTTTATCAAATGAAAAAGTTTATGAACCGCACAAAGAGTTAATAAATATTTACAAATCACTAGTAGAGTCAATCCTTCGATATGGGATAATTGTTTGAGGGGGGTTTATATAACACAACCTTAGAGCCTCTCAGATTTATAGTAAATCGCATTGTCAAAATTATCTACCAACAACCATCACTTTACATGGCAGCTCTCCTGTACAATGATGAAATCCTAATCATAAGAACACTGTACTTATACTTATGTTGTATTTTCGTATATAAATAAACCACATCTACGAACTACTGCTACACATCCCCACAACACAATAATAGCTTGATGACACCAACATGTCAATGTGACGCCAGTCAACGATTTGTAACCACAGTTGCTCCCAAAATTTTTAATAAACTACCGATAAACAAAAAATATAACCAAATTACATATATTTCGACTTAAAGCTAAACAATATGTTACTGTAAACGATTTATTTAAGATTTTATAAATATTTTAAGCTATTGCATAGCTTTTATCGCGGGCTTTGAGTGCAGCGACCGAATCAAGAAATTCCGTAACGACCGTAACGAAAAAAACCTAACACCCCCACTCCGACCGGCACAGCGGTGCGACGTTAAACAATATTAACTCATTCTCATTTATTCAATAAAAGAAAATAGAAAAATCGAAACAGAAATTCCGTAACGAAAATAAACCTAACACCCCCTACTCCGACCGGCACAGCGGTGCGGCGTAGAAAGCCTTGCATCGTCTAACGTCGTTTCAGTTCGGCAGACTTCGGCACGGTGTTTGTGTGCGTGCGACTAGACGTATGCGTGTAGACTAGCTGCTACCTGATTCTATCTCTTTTAGACACAATTTCGGAAAAATTGAATTTGAAAATGAATAATGATCCACAAGAATCCACAAAAAAATATGGGACCACCATTGACGCGGTATTTTCCAGATATTTAGAGGATATCAAGTCTCAAACTTATGTTTCTTATTTCAGTTACCATAAACCTATAGTTTCAATGATAAAAATTCCTGAATAACCTACATGTATTGTAAGATAATAAAAATATTTTAAACAATATTAACTTCTCATTTATTCAATAAAAGAAAAAAAATTTGTTTTCTTATCTGTCACCACGCTCAAAAAGTGTAACTTGAATTAATATTAAAGAAAAAACTTGAATTAATATCAAAGAAAAAAAATACTGCATAAATAAAATAAATAAATAATTATAATTGCATAAGTTGATAAAAAATGCTATGCAATAGCTTTACCGCGGCAGTTCCCGAGTGCCACAGGTATTTTTTTAATAAATACTTATCTGAATTTCCCTAATAAAAGACTTTCCAGGCTGCTTTTTTTTACTAACTTTCACATAATGCCTCATCAATTTCATTAGTGTCAAAATACCTTCTAATATTTTTAATAAATCCAGACTTAGGGTGGGTTGAAAAGAGTGTAAGCAATCGAAATATTATTAATAACTTCCTGCATAAATAAGTAGGTACCAAAATATTCATTGGCTCCCGGGCTATATCATCTATGGCTTATTAGTATTTGATCTAGGTAGGCTCTGGTGAGCTGTCATGGTTTTTCTTTTTTTAATATAGAAACGTCAAAAAAAATTTAATTGCGTATTATAAAACAGATTTCTTAGTCGATCTGATTTATCATTATTTTGTAATATAGAAAAACACGATTTTAAAAAAGGTTCAGCAAGTTTGAGTTTTCAAATTCTGGTGATAAAATAATTTCCATTACCTAATATACCTATAAAAATCTAGTGTGTTGAATTTGGAAAGTTATCTTTCTTACGCAATTAAAATATTTGACAATATTTTACCATTTCAAAATGGATAATATACGAGGAGGACCAAGCAAAGAAAATAATTTAAAACAATTTATTGGTAAATATATTTTGTATCCATAACAATATAAAAACAGATTGAGAATTTAATTTTTTTTTCGACAAGAATACATATGAGTAGGTACTAATCTAAAAATGGCATTTCAAATATTTTCAATCTTGTCGCAAATTCGTAATGTATTTATTGAAGATAATCCTGCTTTTATGAATATTGCACGTTATTTTCTTATTGTACAATACAAATGAAATGTTATAGCAGTAGCGCTGATTACGGAGAAAGGGTCCAGTGGCGCATCCAGAGTTTAAGTCTGTGAGGTAGTGGTAATAAAGTTTAAGTCTGAAGGATAGTGGTAATATTTAAGACTACATTTTTAATAATAATAATACATTTTAGTTCCTATAAAAAGTTCGGCTGTCCAATTTCAAAACACAGTAAGGGACAAAAATAACATTTTCTAGGAAATCAATAAAACCTATTTCCTTTTAGCCGCATTAAATGGTATTTTTTAATGAGGAATTAACCGTTGATTATTGTAATAGATTCCGATGATAACATGTTAAAAAAAATATATACCATTTTTACTTTGATTTTGATATTTATTGCACTTACTAGGTTAAAAGTTGTCGGATCGTAAAAAAAAGTTATATTTACCCAATTCAAAAACACAGTATAAGTGCACTTGGTTATTTATTTGGTATAAGTGCACCAAATCAGTAAAATAAGGTTTCTGAATTAAAAAAAAGGTATTTAGAATAATTTTAGATTTTATTTATTAAAAACATCTGATTATTAATAACTAATAACAATCAGGGTTACCAGGTTTTTGAAAGAGATGACGGACAGACAGGGAATTTTAGGGGAAATAGGCGGAAGTAAAAACTACTCTGTCTATTTTCATTTTTTTAATCAAAATTACTTATTTTGTAAAAAATCCGTACCTATTTTTTGGTAAAGATAGACTGAGCAGGTGTTTCAAATAATAAGGTGAAAATGTTTTCTGACTTTGGATTTCGATTTGCGATTTCTCGATTTTCTAACTTTATTATTTTCACCTTATTATTTGTAAAATCACCTCAGTGTATCTTTATCAAAATTAGGTAAGGATTTCTTGCAAAATAAGTAATTTTGATTAAAAGAGTAAAAATAGACCGAGTTGTTTTTACTTCCCCCTATATTTCCCCTTAAATCCCCTGTCTGTCTGTCCGTCATCTCTTTCAAAAACCTGGTAACCCTGATAACAATTGAATAATGAACAAGAAACGAATTAATTTTATATCAGAGTGTGTTTTTCTCATTAAACTTTTTCTATTGACATCCGTCTCACTCTGTCATGTCACACTATATTAAATTATTTATGTAATAACGGCTATGAACATTTAATAAACAATACAACTATCGAATACTTTGCTTGCTTTACAATTAAATTAATAAATACAAAGTAAATAAAATCACTTTTTACTACATGACCAGATACAATTTCTTTGTCATTTAACGCACTTTTAAAATATATTATAAGTGAACAAATAATATGAAAAATTATCAACAATTACAAAAACTTCCAATAACCTTATCTATTCTTCTAGACTTTCTATTGACTCGTTATTACCAATCAAGTCTTTCGCTTATTATCCACTTTCAGGGATTCCCAAAACACTTTCCTATTGTCTGGCATCAATGGACATAACTTCTTTAAAATACTGTTTTGTTTATCACGGAAGCAAAATATATGCGACTTACTAGGTTTTTAAAATTGTTTTAAGAGGTACTTTGTTTTAAATTTGTCGAATTAAAAAAAATGCACTTATCAATTTTGATATTTATACGACAAAAATCAAATTACTGGAATATATCAAAACCGAATCATGTTCACACGATTCCATTGGAACGAAAAATGGTAAAAAATCGATTTTGAAAAATTTGTCCCTTACTATATGCTTTGAAATTGAGCAGCCGAGTTATGTTTAAGAATTATTTTCTTTAATTCATTGAAACTGCTTTTGATATTTTGTTGAATTTTGTTAGGCACCCACTGTGCGTGGAAACACTTTTTTTTTTGGACAAAAATTAATTTTTTACTGCCACCTAGTGACGTCTACGTAGGCATGATATTAAATATTTGAAAATAATTTTTATTTGAAAGAAAAAGAAGGTAACTTTTCTCTTAGCTTTCTTTTCATTTTTTCTTCCTGATGAAAATAAATTTTTACTTTACATATTATTATTTAATTGCTTGAAAATTTTTAAATACTGTGACGAAAGTCTAATTTAGTTTTAGTTTATTTATTTAAAAACGCACTATTTACAATTTATTTCAGACGTACTATTTAATTTATATAATATTTAGACGCTAACAATTCTAATTTATTTCTTACACTTTAACTTTTCAATACAATGTTCTATATTAAACTAAACTCGGCGCTGATACGTCGGGTATTTATATTAGTCCAACTCCGCTACTGGAAAATGCTAGAGGCTCTCGAAGATTTCATTTGTATGACTAAACGGCACTCCCCGCCGTTCCAGCTGTTTCTAGCGCATCAGCGGCAGGCATTCCATCGTATTCTTGTATATTCGAGCCGCGTTGTTTCGATCACGAGTCTGTTGCCATGTGAAGGCCGCGTGCGTACACAGGGTCGGATTAGGAATTTAATGACAATACATTACTTTTCTTATTTGCACATTTTGAAGTAAGATCCGACTCGGGGTGACATTTAGTTAATACGACGATAAATTTTCCCACCTCCCTGGATATTTTTTTATATAATATACTTATTGGTATATTAACACTTAAAAATATTTGAAATTGCTTAAAAATTGAAGAAAACACTTTTTTATCTAATGTATTTTGAATTAGAAAAACAAACTTTATCAAAAACTAGTGTTTTACTGGCATTAAGCAACAATGATTTTCTATGATTTACAGGAGCTGCACACGAAATCGTTGAATTGATAGAAAATAAAGGAGAAGTATCAACTTTAAAACAAGAAATTGTAATTCAGAAAACTAATCTAGAAACCCTAAAAATTTCTAGGGAAAATTTGCAAAATTTAATTGGCGAAAACGCTATACAAATTGAAAATAGTGAAGGTGTGTCAAAAGCACTGAATGATTACTACATTAAATTTACTTCTGAAGCCCGCGTGATCTATGACCACGCTCTTAAATCGTTTAATGGCGTTGAATATGAGGAAAAAATGTTGGAAAAATTAAGTGAAATTGATAAAAAAAATAAAAATACATTAGCAATACTAAATGCAATGTTTGACAATCAAGAAAAAAGATTATTAAAAGAGTCGGAAAAGGCTGCCATAAATAATCGCAAAGCTCAAGAAGAAAGGAACAAAATAGATGTAGAAAATATTAAATTAAAACAAGAATTAAGTGAAATAGAAACAGAAATTTGTGTGTTTGAAAAAGAAAAATCTGCCTTAGAAAAAGAAATCGCTCAATATAATAACGTTGACGTTTGCCACTTGAAAGAAGATATAATAAGAGCAGATAACGAAATATTGGATCTTTCCAAAAAATTAAAAGCAACAGAGGAGGAAAAACAAAAAGAAGAAAGCATTGTTTTAAAATCCTTTGAAGAAGCAAACGAAAAATTAATAGAAATAGAAAATATTCTGATTGAAAAAACAATAGAGTTACAAAACGATTTAACTGAGAACGACGAGATTACGGAACTGGAAATCTTAAACGAACAAGCAGAAAAGAAAATGGAAACTTTAATAACCCAGTGTAAAGAATTAGACAAAAACAATGAAGAATATGAACGCAAATTTAATGATGAAATTGAAAATTATCAAGAAAATTTAAAGAAAAGCGAGTTACATTTAAAATCCGAAAAAGAGGTACACGAAAAACTGACTACAGACGAGGAAACTTTAAAGATGAATTTAAAATCTGCAAAAGCTGATGTAGAATCACTAAAAATTGTTATACACGAATTAGAACTAGAACCTATACAAGATGTAAACAATGAATTAGAAGTTAAAGAACAAATTGCAAAAAATCTAAAATTGAAGCACGAGACTCTGAATGCCGAATACACCAGGCGTTTGGCTGAGAAACAGGGAGAAATCGAACAAGACATTTTGAAGATTGAAACAGATAACAATAAAGCTGAATCTAGTATTAAGATAATGGAAGATGAAATCAAAGAAATGGAGAAAGAGAAGGAAGAACTTGAAAAGAAAAGACTTGATTTAGAAAAAATATTACAGGTAAAATCAGTAGAGAAAATGAGAATTAAACATTATAATAATAATAATAATAATAATAAAAGTACTTTATTGATTATAAATTTTACAACCAAATGCCCATCGACCTAGGTCCTTCAGCCAGTACAATTTGTATACTGTCTGTAAAAGGTCTTTACAAAAACATACCACATATTCCTTAGACCAAAATAAGTCGATTTAAGTAAAATTACCTTAGTACAAAGTTGCTTCGTTTGGGCTCCAGAGGGCCTTGAAGTTACAATTTTTAAATCGTTTTTCCCATATAAATTTAAAACGGCATATGCGATTTTGCTGAAATTTGGTATATTGGTAGAGTTTTATGTGGCAAAAATATGGTATTAAAATTTTGTCCGATGATATTACATAGGCGTAGAACTTGATTTTTTAAATAATTGCACCTTTAAAAATTCTACGCCAATAGAAGAAAAGGAGTTTGAGTATGAAATTTAGATTGCGCAACTCATTTACTTTAAAAAAGGTACTCTTGATAAGACTCTATTACTCTCAATTTGCATTTTACTAATTTTAGAACATAAACAATATAATTATTAAAATACAAACTTTGTCAAAACCATGAGAGTAAATCGAGTGTTATCAAGGGTACTTTTTTATAGTAAATGAGTACCCAATCCAAATTTCATACTCAAACCCCTTTTTTGCCATTGGCGTAGAATTTTTAAAGGTGCAATTATTTAAAAAATCAAGTTCTGCGCCTATGTATTATTATCGGACAAAATTTTATACGATGAAAAACATAAAAATGTACTTTTTTCATCTTCTTCAACACCTCTAATCGATACTTTTAACAAAAATACTCGATTCTTGCCATGTACGATTTTTTGAGGAATATTAATTATTTGCCTGCAATACGTATACAAAAACATTTATTGTTGGTTTCCATAGTTTTATCTAAATAAAAATATTGTCAAGTTTTAATACCTAATCTCTTGTTAACGATTGAGTGTGTTCTGACTCAATAATTAAAAAACAAATGCGTGGTTTATTAATATGGCTGTACAATATACCAATGCAGAATATACCGATATGTTACTGACATTAGGATTTTGTGAAGGAAATGCTCGAGAGAGTGTCAGGGTGTACTCTGAAAGGTTTCCAAATCGTCGTGTACCTAGCCACCCAACTTTTGCTGCTGTTGAGAGACGTCTTCGGGAGACCGGTTCCTTTGCTCCCAACACTGTTGATAATGGAAGAGAACGTTTTGTAAGGATTCCTGAAGTTGAAGAAGACATTTTAGAACGTGTTGAAGAAGATCCAGAATTAAGCACCAGACGAATTGGAAGGGAACTAGGAGTAAGTAAAGATGTCGTTCGAAAAGTGCTTAGAGAACAATTGCTATATCCATACCATAAGAAGCCAGTACAAGAATTATTAGTCCATGATCCACAAATTCATTTGGGTTTTTGACGATTTGTTAATATGCAAAGAGAAAGAGATCCAAACTTTGTCAAGAAGGTTCTCTTTACCGATGAAGCGGGTTTTACAAGAAGAGGTATAACTAATACCCATAATGAACATGTTTATGCCGTTGAAAATCCACATGCAATAAAGGTAAACCATTTTCAGCACGAATTCAAAATTAATGTGTGAGCTGGAATAATTGGTAATTTCATTGTTGGTCCTGTCATACTTCCACGAAGATTAACTGGAGAAAATTATTTGGATTTTCTACAAAATACGTTGCCAGAATTGTTAGAAGATTTACCTCTCCAACTTCGGAGAGATATGTGGTTTATGCAAGATGGAGCTCCACCACATTTTTCTTTAAACGTTAGAAACCACTTGAATGAACAATATCCACACAAATGGATAGGCAGAGGTAATGACGCACCTGTAAACTGGCCACCACGTTCCTCAGACCTAACACCGATGGATTACTTTTTATGGGGACATCTGAAATCCACAGTTTACAGGGAACCTGTAGAAAATGAGGAACAACTCTGGCAACGTATTCAAGATGCAATAAACAATCTTAGAGGTGATGAAGAAGTTATGAAAATAAGGATACATTTTAATTTTCTTCGACGTATAAATCTTTGTATGCGTGAAAATGGTGAACATTTTGATTATGTTGTAAACAAATATTTTTGTGAAACCTATACACTCTAAATTATTAAAACAGAAATTTAGCGAAAACCATGAGAGTAATCGAATCTTATCAAGAGTACCTCTTTTAAAGTAAATGAGTTGCGCAATCTAAATTTCATACTCAAACTCCTTTTCTTCCATTGGCGTAGAATTTTTAAAGGTGCAATTATTTAAAAAATCAATTTCTACGCCTATGTATTATTATCGGACACAATTTTAATACCATTTTTTTGCCACATAAAACTCTACCAATATACCAAATTTCAGCAAAATCGCATATGCCGTTTTAAATTTATATGGGAAAAACGATTTAAAAATTGTAACTTCAAGGCCCTCTGGAGCCCAAACGAAGCAACTTTGTACTAAGGTAATTTTACTTAAATCGACTTATTTTGGTCTAAGGAATATGTGGTATGTTTTTGTAAAGACCTTTTACAGATAATATATAATTCTGTTTTGAATTGGCTTTTTAGGAACTGACAAAAGAAGCTGCTCCTGCACTACCTCAGAAAAGAATACGTCATTGGGACAGTGATACCACTATTGAAGATGAAGATACATCCTATGCTGATAAAGTTTTGATGAAGATAAAGAAAATGAATGCTAAAAAGTAAAAAGTATCGAATTTTTATTGAAGTTCCTTGGTGGATACATTGAGTTTCTATTTTAGTTCCTTGGTGAATATAAAAAGTAGTTAAATAATTTAAAAAATATAATTATTGAGTACATATTTCAGTTTCTTGGTAGATATAAAAAGTAGTTAAATTATTTAAAAACATAGTTGAAAACATGTATTTGTTTTTTTGTATTATTTGAGATAGTTGAATTAACATTTTCTCGTTTTATCCATAGTTTGATAGTTGATATAATACAAGGTATGTGATCAAGACCTACAATGGGATTCGATACGTCACAAACGCCTATCTTCGTTCGACACACTGCGATTCTTAAGTAATGTCTCTCTTTATTCGATATGTCCAGTCCAGTCTCTAATAGATTCTGCCTACGATACACAGACTAATGGTATGTTCCTGCGCATGTAGCTGACCGAAAGTGACGTCACGTGGAACATAGAATTATTCTTAGATTATATAAACAACAGAACATGTATTTACCTTTAAATCCGGTCATATATGTATTGCAAAGAAACGTAGCGATTTCATAAAAGAACCGAAATGCGTTGCCTGTGGCTGTGTAGTTTATCCCTTTCATATGTAAAAATAGTTTTTACCTATAATTCACTAACTTATTAATTAGGATAGTTTTAAGATATATTGCGACACATCAATCGTCTCCACCAATTCATTTTCGTACCTAGTGCAATGTTTCCCACTCCGCCGCATTATGAGCAGAGTTGTCGCAATATTTCCCGAAATATTTCTAATAGTAAGTCTCTAAATAAAATGATTTGTAACAAAACAAAAAACTTATAAAATGTGTACAAAGTACATTAACCTTTTCAACACCAGCCACTACTTTTAAATTTACACTGAGATAACTAGCAAGAGTATTTTATTGGAAAGGTTTAAGCTGAAAATTTAAACAATAAATTGTTTTTAATCTATATTGAAAAAGTATTTTAAGTACGTAAAAATAAGTGGATATTTTTTTTAAATATAAAACAAAATCAGCCCAAACCAAATAATGTATTTTCACCAATCAAAATTCTTAAAAAAAAAATTAATTGTTAATCATTTTAGGCACAGACCGTTTGATATTTTAAAAATCATCTACCTCTAGGTAATAAAATCCAAATAAATATATAAAATAGAGACAGAATGTTTATTGAAATAGAAATTTACAATTTAAGATTTTTGACAATACATTTTTTTTGATACTGTATATTGTGTCAGTATTATAAAATATATATTATAAAATAGGTTTTAATAATTTGAAGCTGATTTAGATACTAGAAAAGAACAAAACCAAAAAATATATAATTAATTAATATCTTCATTTGGTCATTTGGGATAAACCTCTGAGTTTGGACCAGAAATGCCAAGAAATTTTCTGATTTGGCAGTCTATCTTTAAACGGATCACCTATCATATTCCACCCAGCCGGATTATTGTCTATATTCTCCGTCATCACTATTATCAAAACTTTCACATTCACTACCTGAAGTGATATTTTCTAACAGAAAATCGGAATTTGAATCACTCGAGTTCATTTTAGATCTTTATTTGTGGTGTAGTATTTTTAAAGAAAATTAAAGTTAACATTATAAATCAAACTTTTATAAACATTCTTATTTATAGTAGTTTTACGAAGCTCTTCGAGAAGTACCTATTTGGTTATTGCCATAATCTAAGAATGTTGAATAAACATTAGTGTTAAACGATTTATTTAGTAAACGTTTTTTTTACCAAGTCATCAAGAAAGCACTGATGATTTTTTTGTGTGTAAACCATAACTGAAGAAAAGGTAAACAAACATCGGCTCAGTTCTAGATTAATTTTTATGTGACGTACGTCCAAAAGTATAGCTTAAGGACGTACGTCGACTGAGGCTGAAAGGGTTAAGCTATTTTAACTGCTTTCAACAGACTTGATATTTTAGCAGCACCTGTTTTTAGACTATTATGCAAAGCATTTTTGTACCTATCGTTTTTACATACGTACGCCTGCTAAATAATAACTTTGCAAATACTAAGTTAAACTATGGCAAATAAATACATGGATTTTAAAAGTGTTAAATGTGACACCAACGCAATTTAAAATAACCCATTAAACAGTTTATCAGCACCGTAACTGGGCCAAAGGAGGCTTGCCGGACTCGGCATATAGGTAGGGCATGTCCGCGCTCAGCCGAATGTCGGCCGCGTTCATATATCTATACAGTGAGCATCATAAGTCTTACCCCCCTAACTAACTCGTTACTGGGGTCTTGTTAGGAAAATCGCCGAGACAGGTCGATTTTTGATTTCTACAATGTACATTTTTGCATGATTAGTTTACCCTTAATTTCATCCCTTACTGGAGGGTAGCAACCCTTTCGAAAAATTTAAATAGCATGGGGTGGTGAGTGATAGCTCATTTGAAAGGGGGTTTTATTCTCTATTCAACCGTGCAAAAAATTTTGAAATTTGCTTCATTACGTGTTGATTTATTAATGTTTAAAAATAACAAAACCTCACAAAATAGGAAAGCAACTACACTAACAGTGACCTTCTAATGGCAAAAAGTCTTACTTCACGTCTGAACCAAAACCGAAATCATGCAGGGCCGAATTTTCATTCTAAGGATGAGTGCGCTACGTTAATTTCCGTTATTCTGAAACAACAATTAGTCGAGAATTAATGAAGCAAATTTCAAATTTTTTTACACGGTTGAATAGAGAATAAAACCCTCTTTCAAATGAGCTATCACTCACCATCCCATTTAAATTTTTCGAAAGGGTTGCTCCCCTCCAGTAAGGGATGAAATTAAGGGTAAACTATTCATACAAAAATGTACATAGTAGAAATCAAAAATCGACGTGTCTCGGCGATTTTCCCAACAAGACTCCAGTAACGAGTTAGATAGGGGGGGTAAGACTTATGGTGCTCACTGTATATAATTCGGCCCGTAAGGATGCCTCCCATGACCGGCTAGCCAAATATTAAGCACGTTCGGCCCGTAAGGATGCTTTCCATGTCTGGAACGCCAGATATGGACCATATCCGGTTTCTACTTCTAAATTACGTCAAATGGTACTGTCCTTCCGGCTCAGAACAAACGCCGATAACGGCAATTCAATTACTCGGCTTCCCGTACATGTCGGTGACAGGCCGAGCGAATGCCGACTATTTGTGGTTTACAAGGCACCTTGTTTTATTCTACTATACATCACGTATAGTATTTTTTCTGTCGATAATTTGCGATGTTGTCATACAGTACATTATTCCAAATCGGATGTTTTTGTTGATTTTTAGACTTTTTTGGAAATATTTTGGCTTATATAGTTGTAGTGTATAGCTAATAAAATAATTCGCGTGTGCATTTTGTGCAAAAAAACTGAATAATGTGAGTGCTGAAGTGTGTTTTTATAAGGTTAGGTGATATATTGCATTGTTCAGTGGTGTAGATTTACAGTTTTTTGCTGTAATAGCACATGTATTATCTACCTTTGTTTTAGTATTTATTTCCTTTGATATTTCAACAATATTAATTTCGCAAACATTGTTATTAATGGAAACACTTTAGTCTGTACATAAATATGCTTATGCTTGCTTTTTAGATTCCCAAGAAATATTTGGCTATCGTGTAGGACTTAGTGAAAATGAAGGTATCCAAAAAAGAGTGGCAGCAACTGCAACTTTATAAATCGGTCTTAAATCACAGAATTAAATTGACGGATATTTGATTAATTTAAAGGTTTCCTTAACAACGTAGGTCTAATTGTCGCTATAAGTACAACAGCCTACTAGTTTAAAAATTCAAATTTTACATAGATAATTTTCTGAGACTTTAATATATTGTACTAATATGTTTATTCAATATTAAATCGTCGTAAGGTTTTGTTTGGTTAGGTTATTTTTAACCTAATTTTTACAGAATAGACCTCATTGGGGTCTATTCTGTAAAAATTCTTTTATATTTAACGGCCTTTAAAAATATTTTCTTCTTTAATTCGGTCACTATTTAAACGGATCTTTAAAATACATTAGAGGACTATCTTAAAGAAATCTGTTTAAATAATGATAGAAGTAAATTAACGAATACGAACATATTTTTATAGGCCGCCAATATTTTTAAAGGCTGTTAAATATAAAGAAATTGTTACAGAATAGACCCCATTGTACAATAAAAAAAACATAAGTTATATAAAAAAGTCAACTTTAAATTTATTTTTATAATAAATTAATATCACAAACCTAGGTATGCACATAACAGAAAAGTAAGAAATAATGTAAGAACTAATAACATAATTCCAATCCACAGTGGTATAGTCCCTGAAAAAAAATAAATAAATAAAAAATATAAATAAAATGTAAATATTTTATTTTTCAACTTGTGCTTTAATGAATATTAAAAAAAAATAAATGCTAATAGTTTCCAATATTAGTTTACTGTCTAATAATTATTATATACACTTACGTCTGTACGGCACTGTGTGTATGCACAATCGATTATCTACAGAAATTGATAGTACGGCAGCCTCCGCTACGCTACTTATGGAATGATTCGTATTTATACTCGATAGGAATTCAAGACCAGTCACAAACATGGAATGAGCACCAGCAACAGTTAATATTTTCTGTAACATTAATAATAATAAATTACAAACAAGTTATTTTCAGATGTAATAAATCTCAACAGTACTACAGGGTGTTGGGAATTACATCCTCATAATTTTAACAGATGTTTAAAATGTAAAATTTCAATAAATATATTGCAGCCAAATTAAAAACTTATTAAACTACATATTGTTGGTTGAGAAGAAAACTATCCTATGTCCATTTAAACTAACCTATTGATATGGAAACCTCCTTCCCAGACAACACACCAAATCCCAGAGATATCCACAGAATATCTTTTGTGGATATCCAATATATCCACAGGATATCAGAAATATTCCGTGGATCTAATATGGATATCCAAATGTCCGTCTATATCCAGAATATAGAAGATATCCTATGGATATTCAGCAAAATATCTAATGAGTATCTTCCAGACAATACAAGAAATCCCAGAGATATCCACAGAATATATTTTGTGGATATCCAATATGGATATAGAATTCAGATATTCAGCAAAATATTTTATAGGTATCTTTAGTAGAGGTTCATAAAGAACCAATGATTATTGAATAACGTCGAAAGAAAATAGAAATAAAAAATATTTCCAACAATTTTGCCCACTATAAGGGCACTAAGGAGAAAGTCGTCCTTATTAGGACTCTTCAGCAATAAATGGAAATTCTCGACTCCAGTCTCTAATAGACTGATTGTTAAAAAAAAATCGATCGAACTCATTTACGGCGGGTTGAGCATGAGTAGATACGAAAGTGGTATCGCCATCTATACTTAGGAAGAAAATCAAAAATTACATCTAGTAGATATCCACGATGGTTTGCGTCCGCGCTTAGACTTTGATCATTGTCTAATGACATTAGACAATGCTTTGATATATTTATATTTATAGTGGATGTCCATGGGATATTGAATACACCTTAAAAAAATTAATTTTAAATATCTGAACGGTACTATTAGCCACAATGGCGTAATTTTTTTAATAATTTGCTATATAATTACTATTATTTATGGACATTTGCATGTCTATTACATTTCATGGATATAAAATAGATATCCACCATGGACTGGACATTCAGTGGATATTGGGATGTTCAGTAGATATCCAAAGGATTTGGTGTGCTGTCTAGGATAGTTGTCTTTGATTTCCAATCAATTAATAATCTCAATTTCGGGGTAGTTCAAAAGATCTAAAATATTGTAAAAATTATTTACAAAAATAAAAAAAATCTGCTACTTGTTCACCTCTGACGTCTCTACATGTGTGCTAGTCTCTGCCGCCTCTACCTGTCTTTGCTTGGTGCTTTTATAACTATGTGGTCCAGACGCACCATGCCAGGTTTCCAAATGCACTCCTGTATACTGTCGTCTCTGCCTGTCTGCTTGTCTGCTTTTCTCTACTGTCTCTGCTTATCCCCCAATATTGATGTCTCCAATTTTATAATGTTATCCAGAAATTTCCACATCACTGTGTCCATTTAACCTATACTATGTCCATTTTTTTTAAGAATAAGTTATTGATATAATATCCTAAATTCTATTTAATTCTAGCTTGTGTAATACTATCCAATGTCCTAAGAAGCCCTATATAGGGAATAGTATTCTTCTCAACCAAGGATACTTTCAAATATAATAAAAAATGGTTTTTAAATTAATAGTAGAAATGCAGCAAATTAATTTACGTCTTTTCTAGCCCATTAACACGATTGTTTAGGAGTGTTAATAGTATTGGATTTTTTGTTTCCCTCATATTCTTCATTTAAATTAAGTATAACTTAATGACAATTGAGAATACTATTACTGTTCTTATGCTTCATTAATCAAATGTTTTATACACTTTATTTACTTATTTTTCTTGTTTGTTTTACTCAGTGCTTGTGCACATAACATGTATTTTTTTAATTGTAATAAAATGGGGTTTTACTATAAATAATTATTATATTTTTTCCACCCTGTATAAGGCAGCAGCTGTTACAGTGATGTAAATTTGTTGTTCAACAATAGCCCTTAATCAGACACTGTGTACGTACCTGTAAACTAAAGGCAACATGGATAGAAATAGATCCACTAAACATGGTACCAACTGCAACAAATCTGCCATCATCTCGCACTGCCAAGGTTGCAAGAGTTTCATCAAATTCTGAATATTTTTTCAAGTCATTCTCCTCAGGTATCCATTGTTGAAGGAAAGACTTGTGTTTAGGATTGACTGCGTTAGCAATCATATATAATGCTGATTTATTTTTTTGTTCTTCAATAACACCAAACCTTAAAAAATATATATGAAGTAGCCAATATATTTACTGGGAACAGCAAAAACCTGAATTAAATAATATTAAATAAGAATGCAGCATGTAATTATTGAAAAGCATGTTTGACTTACCTACATCTTTTATACAGATACTTTGATCCTTCTGGATGTTTCCATGTCAGTTTTGATCTTTCATTTCCCGTTTTACAATCCCACAATATTCCTAAACCATCTTTAGCAATTGAAATAACATAATTGTCATGTCTACTAAAGTCTACATCATCTATTTCTTTCTTATGGCCTTTTAGAATGAAGAGGGGTTGTAAACTGGGAAACTTCCACAGTCTTACATCGCCATCAGTGCCTCCTAAAAACATATTTTGTTTTCAGAATGTTCATTATAACTATTATACATATATCTTATATAATGAATGTATTACCAGTTGCTAATACTTTTCCATCATAATTAATTCTAACTACTCTAGATAATGGTTCAGAACCATTAAAATCTGTCTGTACACTGTCCATAGGATTAAGAGTATAGTATAATTCTTTTTTAACATTTTTATTATTATCTACTTGTTCTTTAGGTTTTAAATTTGTATTTCTTTGTTTAATATGTATATCATTTCCAATGTTCTCCACTTTAACTTGTTCTACTAATTTTGTGTTAACTTTATATAATTGACAGTGACTTTCTTGACCAGCTACCAAATAGGAATTTTTTTTGTCATTAAATACACAGCAGTTCATAACTACATTTCCACCAGTTTCATGTCTTGTAACTTCTTTAGCGCCAAATTTTTGTCCGTCATGAAAAATTTCATATATTTCCTAAAAATAGCACAATTATACACTACACTCAATTTTATGTGAATGGACACTATCATTTCTATTCAAATAAATTGAAAATTTCATGTGACTATGACTAAATAAACAAACAGCTAATTGATAAACTGTCTTTATATAAAAGTGATATCTTTTCATAAAACAATCCCAGATGTAGTTGATCTGGTGTCCATATAGTATAATAAATTTACCTTTCTAGAAAATAAAACCATACATGAAGTTTAAACAGTTTATGATACTGTGATCGAATATGAGCAATTCAAGTAATACCAAGGTTGTTCTTTTTACAATTGAAATCCCTTTAAAAGTTGGTGTTGGTATGTCAAACATAAATTTTAAGAGATCATTCACATTACAAGTTTAAAGACTCTGGAATTACTAGTAAATAGGTACATAGAAATTAAAAAGGACCTAATCCAATTTTCTTGAAAAGAGGACACTGCAAAATATGTGGTCAGGCTTCATAAGCTATCACATTATGTTTATTCTTTTTGCTTTATCCAATGGCTCTTGCAAATGCCAAAACCTGATATGATCTCTCAAAATTAAAGAAAATAGGTATTTGTTGATATTATATTATATAAACTAATTTAAATCAATTCTGTCTTTTATTTTATAATTATTTCAGAAAAAGTGCATAATTGCTTAGCCATATTGAAAAAAAGGATTCAATTATTTCAAATATACAACTATGGGATAATTTATAGATTATACCATCGTATATTTTATTTTGGAAACAAAGAAAATGAAATTAAACTTACAAAACCGTTTTCAACCCCCGTCTTTGAAGATCCACCACCTCCACCTACAATTACATGCCTTGAAGATAGCATTTTAATGGTATAAAGAGGGAAATTAACTTTAGCAAGTATATTTTTTTCATTTTTTCTTTTTGAGGTCATTTTTGTTTCAATTAAAACGAATTTTTCACTCACAAAATAACTTCCACGTAGGTAACCTCAAAACGTGTTTCTGACAACTTGACAACAATAACAAAAGATATGACAGGTCTGTTCTGGTTTTGAGAAATAACGATCCACAACTGTCGGGCTCATGCGCAGTAGATAAAAAGTGTTCTGGTTTTTCTGGGACTACTTCGGATCTCTCAGTCCGGTGTTCTGGTTTCGTATCCGAAATAATCCGTGATTGTTGTAAACAGTCAAAAAGTGTTAATGCTTGGGAGTGTGGATCGACTCGGACTGTTTTGACCGCGCATGCGTTTTTGAAGTGTTATGAATATTGCATTGGCTTTTTAGACTATACGAAACGTATACAATCCCAAATTGTTTATTTATATGTGGACGAATGTCTCTTGTTCTTGTTTTATTTGTAAATTAAAGCAATTTTAGAATTATTAATTTTTTAATATTCTGTTTTTATTTATTCCATTGAAATGTGATGATAATGATAAACATATACATGCAAATGTTATTTGAAGCTGAGCTTTCAAAAGGAACTTCATTATTATAATAAACAATAAACAAAACACCTTTATGACGTGTTCTGGTTTTCCAAGAATTTCAAACAGTCGGGGATTTTTTGCCTTTACGCATACGGTCCGGCGCAGTTTCAAAACAGTTTTCATTTTGAGAACCAGAACAAACCTGACATGATGGCTGAGCAGGGCTGCCAGACAGAATGCAAAATAGAACCTCAAATAGAACTTACCTAAGGCCCGTATTTATAAACAAAACTCAGCTGAGTCGGACTTGGGTAAGTCGTCCTTGAAAGAAAATCGAAGTTCGGTTATATCACAAAGCACGTATCTTCTAGAGACCCCACGCCAATGTTAAACTTTTAAACCAAATTAGCGCCACCTTGTGTTTGGAGCTGGAACTAAAATGACAATTGACAGATGGCGGTAAATTCAAATTGTAATTTTTAGGAGTAGGTAGTAGTTTTAAATTAAATTTTAAATGATTTCCACATAAATTATTTTATAAAATAAAGAATGGAACTAGTAAGTTCGAAACTTTTATTTTACAAAATAATTTAGGTCGATTATACCAAATTTGAGGAATTAATTTGTTATAAGCAGGGGTCTGATGTGGAGAGTTGGTTCTGCATATTATTATTAAATAAATATAAGATATATCAATAAATAATCAAATAGAACATTCTTAAAATATGTTTATTAATAACTTAAATAAATATTATTAGATAAAAATAAATACAAATAATAATACATATTTAACGAATACTTACTCTCAAATCTTTAAAATACCTATCAATAATTTAAATGTGAAGTAGAGACTAGGATATTACATTTTATTAACACTAAAATAATATATTTTATAAATGTCTTTTAAACCGAGGACAAATGTAATATAGGTATTGTATTAAAAGGTGAATCATTTTAACTATTCATTCAATGATAAATAGGTATTTTCCTTCCAAATACAGATGGTGGTATTACTCCACTGCTTTGTGTATTACTCTCTTATGTGAAAAATGATTTCGGAATCTAGTCCAGTGATAAATTGATTATCAATTAGTTGTTATACCCGTTTGTCTTTTTATGATGCAGATGCATGGTGAATCAATAAGTTTTTCTCGAAGTTTTCAACGTAGCACCCACAGGTAGCACCAAAATTATTGCAAAACACAGTAGCAAATAGAAAAGCAAAACATCACAATTTTGCAAATAACTAAGACGAAACTATAAACAGAAACCAAAAGCCAAAGCCAACAAAAAATCACTAAAATCAGACGGAAAAATGAGATTAACCAAAAACATAAATAAATACACGTTACATCTTTGGAGTCTTTGGTTAAGTTTTTCTCCCATAAAGCTTAAAAATGGAGTAAGAAATCAGAATTTTACCAGTAGCCCCATCTAGAGTTTGGAGCAAATAGCATAAAAAATGTCAGTGTCGGTTTTGACCTTGGTCATTCACGTGGAACCTCTATGTGCTTTGTGGGTTATATCGCTTGAACTTAGAGATGGGAAGTAACAATTCCTTAAATGTACATAACAGTTACATATTTGCTAATATCCATCTCTAAATTTCAGTCAAACACCAGAACCACCTAGAACTTTAGAGACATTGTAACCGAACTTCGATTTTAATTCAAGGACGACTTACCCACAAAGCACGTATCTTCTAGAGACCCCACGCCAATGTTAAACTTTTAAACCAAATTAGCGCCACCTTGTGTTTGGAGCTGGAACTAAAATGACAATTGACAGATGGCGGTAAATTCAAATTGTAATTTTTAGGAGTAGGTAGTAGTTTTAAATTAAATTTTAAATGATTTCCACATAAATTATTTTATAAAATAAAGAATGGAACAAGTAAGTTCGAAACTTTTATTTTACAAAATAATTTAGGTCGATTATACCAAATTTGAGGAATTAATTTGTTATAAGCAGGGGTCTGATGTGGAGAGTTGGTTCTGCATATTATTATTAAATAAATATAAGATATATCAATAAATAATCAAATAGAACATTCTTAAAATATGTTTATTAATAACTTAAATAAATATTATTAGATAAAAATAAATACAAATAATAATACATATTTAACGAATACTTTAAATAAATAATCTTTAAAATACCTATCAATAATTGAAATGTGAAGTAGAGACTAGGATATTACATTTTATTAACACTAAAATAATATATTTTATAAATGTCTTTTAAACCGAGGACAAATGTAATATAGGTATTGTATTAAAAGGTGAATCATTTTAACTATTCATTCAATGATAAATAGGTATTTTCCTTCCAAATACAGATGGTGGTATTACTCCACTGCTTTGTGTATTACTCTCTTATGTGAAAAATTATTTCGGATTCTAGTCCAGTGATAAATTGATTATCAATTAGTTGTTATACCCGTTTGTCTTTTTATGATGCAGATGCATGGTGAATCAATAAGTTTTTCTCGAAGTTTTCAACGTAGCACCCACAGGTAGCACCAAAATTATTGCAAAACACAGTAGCAAATAGAAAAGCAAAACATCACAATTTTGCAAATAACTAAGACGAAACTATAAACAAAAACCAAAAGCCAAAGCCAACAAAAAATCACTAAAATCAGACGGAAAAATGAGATTAACCAAAAACATAAATAAATACACGTCACATCTTTGGAGTCTTTGGTTAAGTTTTTCTCCCATAAAGCTTAAAAATGGAGTAAGAAATCAGAATTTTACCAGTAGCCCCATCTAGAGTTTGGAGCAAATAGCATAAAAAATGTCAGTTGTCGGTTTTGACCTTGGTCATTCACGTGGAACCTCTATGTGCTTTGTGGACTTACCCAAGTCCGACTCACGTAAGTTCTGTTTATAAATACGGGCCTTGGGTAAGTTCTGTTTATAAATACGGACCTTAGTTGTGGAATGTTATTTCAGATAATTTCTTTATATAAATATCTATTAGATTGCTAAAAATACATTGAGCACAAGCAACCAATGTTTAACTTTTAATAGGTCTTTTCCTTTGCATCGAAAGTGTAGCACTGAGCTACGTCACTTCTGAAAATATCGTTCCATCCATACAATTTGTATATATGGAACGATATTTTCAGAATTGGTGTAGCCCAGTGCTACACTTTTGATGCAAAGGAAAAGACCTTCTATGTACTATATATTTAGGTCCGTATTTATAAACATAAGTTATCTGAGTCGGACTTGGGTAAGTCATCCTTGAGCTAAAATCGAAGTTCGGTTACAACGCCTCTAAAGTTCCAGTTGTTTTCGGTGTTACACTAAAATTTAGAGATGGATATTTGCAAATCTGTAAATGTTAAGTACATTTACGGATTTGTTACTACCCATCTCTAAATTCACGCGATATAACCGAACTTCAATTTTCGTTCAAGGACGACGTACCCAAGTCCGACTCAGCTGAGTTTTGTTTATAAATACGGATCTTAGTTTGCAAACGACATAAAAATAAAAAAATACATTGATTGAAATCACGGTTAGCTGTTTGAAGGATTCTTCAACCTAATAGGGCGAAAGTGGACCCGTCTCTCTACCTTCTACCTCCATGCGGAACTCTCTGGAATTTTAGAGAAGTTATAACATAACCAACATAACCGAACTACGATTTTCGTTCAAGGACGACTCGACTCACCCAAGTCCGACTCGACATTCATGACTCGACCAAGTAATCTATGGACTCGACTCACCCAAGTCCGACTCAGCTGAGTTCTGTGTATAAATACGGCTCTGAAACATGGAATGAAAAGAGTAACAATCCTCGAACTCGTCACAGTCAATCTCCTAAATTGTCATAAGTCAAAATCGCCAATACATTTTGTCAATTGTCAATTTGATGTGGTGAATTTGAAGTTCCATCAAATTAGTTTAATTTCTTCATAAAATTAGTGGTGCTTCTTTATTATTAATATTTTTTCATATTTTTCAATAATTGTTAGCCTTTAGTATATAGACGGTTAAATATTTTCTTATAGAAAACATTTATTTTGTAATCTCGATGCTTTTGCACTAAAAATGTGTTGCGGTATTTAGTTTTTTTTTTTTAATGTATAGTATGTTTTAAATCCATTATTCCTTGAAAACATAAAAAGCTCAAACGTTTTTTACACAATTTAACCGTAAAATGGCAGACTCAGCCAGCGAATCTGATTCCAGCAGCATTGATGGTGGTCCTATTATGATGCCACCCAGCCCCATCACCAGAGAACAACTTCAAAAACGGATTGAGAGTCTTCAGCAACAAAATCGGGTGCTCAAAGTCGAGTTAGAAACCTATAAGTTGAGAGTAAAAGCTCTACAGGAAGAAAATAGGGATCTTCGCAAAGCATCTGTTATTATAGTAAGTTTTCAAATTGACTTGCATGTGTTCATTTTTGTTATTTTACAACGCGAATGAAAAATTATGGATTATAATTTCAAAATATAAAAATACCTGCTTATTTTTAAATTAATTTTAGTATAATCAACATTTACTTGACCTAAATTTTGTATTCAGACATCAGTTTGAAAATTTAAATAATGTATACTTAGAAAGTGGTTAAATATTAATATACCTAGTATTAAGTCTTTTGATACATTTTGATTGTTAAATTATGGATATGAATCATTAAGAAATGTTTAGACATCTACAAAACTATTTAATTGCTGCTACTGCTACAATAGTATGTATCTATTACAAAAAGTCAACCAGCTACATTATAAATCTAGATGTATTAATCTATAATTGAAGCTCTAGGCATATTTTACTCCTGCCTGTATTTAATATTTTATCCCATTTGGTTTATTAATAATTTTCATATCTTTCAAGACATTTCTATTTAATTTTTTGTCATTTAGAGAAAAAAAATTATATGATCAGTATATATTGAGTGTTCTGCATACTCTTTTAAATAAATGTCATGTTTTTAATAATTAATGGGCATATCTATGTCCTGGGGGTAAATAAAATAACCAAATATACAAATTCGGGTCTCAATTTTGCAAGGGCACTGTATTACTATAACTTGTTTTCTTAACCCTTAACTGTTGAAGAGTTCTGCCTGTAACATGGATTGTAATAGATGTTATAGGTTATGGTACAGTATAGTTAAAAATTATTTAAGATAATTTAAATTAGGCTGCAATAATCCAGTGTGATAAATTTATTGTATTGTCAATGATTCATTTTACTACTTTTTCAGTTGACTATTGTAATAGGTATAAATTGTCTCACAACTCGGCTGATACTTTTAACTATTGTCAACTAATTTGTGAAGCTACAAAATCATTTATTTTTTAAACAAATTACATGCATTATGTTATCACCAATTTTCATGAAAAGCCAACCGTAAATAACTTTGTAAGTCAGAAGTGACTTTTTTCTACCACTTTCTTATGTAATAATAATATAGGTACTTCATGGATCTCCAGTACCCTATTTATATTAATCAAATAAGTAAATAACATGATGAAATGTAAAAAAAAACAATATTTATAAATAAGGATAATTTCCTGTCCCTAGAAGAATTTTATATAAATAAAAAATCTTAGTTTTTATTTTTTATAATTTAAGCACAAGAACTACATATTATATTTTGGTGGGGTTTCTGTTATTTTTAAAAGTTTAAAATGTTTGTAATCATCCCCATGTATTATTAAATATTTACTGTACCAGAAGATGGAAAAATGTTCTGAAACATATGTAGTGCTTGTTCTTAAAAAAAAAAAAAAAAAAAAAAAAAAAAGGAACTTTTTATTTATTTAAAATATATGTAAAGTTAGTTTTTCTTATACTTTTCAGTCTAGGGTATCCACCTGCTGTGTACACATATTAACATTTCTTTTGGTTGATCTCTTGATTCTTTTTTTTTTCCTTATTCCTCCTTTACATACCTTTTTGGCTGGCCCCATAAAACAATATTTTCTATAATGATCCCCAGTATATTATAAAATGAATAACTTAATGATATTAATATTGATAACAAAGTTTATGAATTAAACAGATATTTTATTTACTTTAAAATAAATGTTTGATTCTCTTAAAAATGTACAATATAATGTGAAATGCATCATTTCATTTAACACCTTCCTGAGATATAGTTAAATTTAGCTCTACAAAGAATAAGTCACCAATAGTTTATTCTATTTTTGTTTTCTCAAAGTAAACCCACTTATTGTTAACCGCAATAAATCATACCAGGTAAGTGTTGACAATGAACAGGCCAAAATTTTCCAACTAAGTGTTTATGTTTCTAAATTTAAATCAATGTCTGACAAAACGTATTTTTATTTTCATCAGTCACAAAGACCATGCATTTTCGAAAGAATTACTTTTTTGTATTACAGAAGTATATTTAAAATGTTAACTTTTTAAAAGGTTCTAAAATTATATATCTATATATAGGTATATTATTTTCTATCTGAATAACACAACAATGTAAGGGGTGATTCTGTGATGAAAATTAAGGTGGGTATTTGAAATAAATTTTTTTGAAAAAACCCTCCCCAGAAAAGTTACACTCCTCTGAAGATTAAAAAAAAAATTGTTTTTCTTTTTTATTTTCCCTGTATATTAAGCTAAAGACACCAAACTTGGTAAATATTATTTGTCAATAAAACTACACTTTTTAATTTTTTTTCAATCCTGAAGTATGCTTAGAAGGGGTTGAAATAGTCAACCCCTATATTTTTCTTAAAACTTTTTTTAGATAAAAATTTTTCTCTAAAAAAAATATTGCTGAAATGTCCAATTCATTTACTAACTTTTTTATCTCTACAACTATTTTTTTTGTGTTATTTAGATACAAGGTGTCCCTGTATTGGTGTAACAAGAGAATTAGATTTTAACTGATTTTATCATTAATTGAATTTCAAAATAATAATAATACAGTTCAAAATGTAAAACTAGATATGAAATAAAAATTAAAAAAATAGTGGAAACATAAAATGTAATACAATGGATTCATTTAAAAATAGTTGAAAAATAAAGTTTAAGGAATTAAAATTTTTGTGAGAGTAGATTATTCTTTAATTTTTTTTTGGAAAATATGTTATGGATGATGTATTTGCTTGCGCAAAATACTGATGAGTGTAATTATTGTAAAAAAATCAGTAACTGCTTGTGTAAAATGTGAAATCTGTGACTTGAAATATCACAAAGAGTATATGCTATCATAAGATGCTGTAAACCAAAAGTTATTGAAAAATCTAAGACTATGAATCAAGAAAAAATTAAAGGTGATGTATTTTGCATTGATGCTTACAACTTTTTAAAATTACTAGTAGAAGAATAAAAACTAGCAAACCAATTAATGAGTGAATAAATAGAAATCTTAAAAGTTGAACTTAAAAATGAAAAAACGAAATATTCTGATCTGCAAACACAATATAACGAAATAAATCCTAAATTTATAAGAGTCGACAATAAAAATCAAAACTTGTCTATCAGTGCTAATAAAAGACCAGTTTTTATAGAAAAACCAAAAGAAACAAAAACTGAAAGTGTGAGTAAACCTGTTGGAAATAAACATTTAATACCAAACAAAAACAAGCGATTATAGGAATGCTCCTGTACAGGATGACTCATTTCTCCAAAGGAAACAAGTTGCATTAGAACTAATGAAAATTCAAACAGATGATACCAATGAGGGGAGTCATGAGAATGATTATATCACAGTAACAAGACGGCAAAGGAGAAAAAACAAAACAATTATGGGAAGTGGATAAGGTGATAAATTTAAAGGAAGGGAAAAATCAAACAAACAAATTTGGCTCTTTGTATCTAGAGTATCAGATACTGTAAATGAAGAGAATGTTTAGAAATACATTCATAAACGCACAAACGCAGAAGACATTTATGTGAAGAAACTAGACACATATTTTGTAAGACAGAATAATCAAGCTTTTCTAGTGGGAATAGATCCTCATTTTCAGGAGCAAGTATATAAATCAGATTTTTGGCCGAAAAATATAATTTATTCCCGATTCAACTTTAAACAAGGTCAGCAATTTCTTGAAGATTCACAAAACCAGAGATCGCATAAGAGTGAAGAAAATTTTTCAAACCTAGCCTCTACTTCAAACCTGATAAAATAGGGATCTCAAGGACTACTATGGAACACCATTTTTTGAAAGAAAATAATAAATTACTATTTTGCAGTTTCCAACAGTTAAATATTACTGCATATCAATATACAGGGAGATTTTGCCAATAAATGCTTTTGTCTAAATTTAATTTTACAGAAACAAAATGTAAGTATTCTATGTATTACTGAACATTGGCTTGATTCTAACAATTTACAAGCTACCTCAATTGACGATTTTAATTATATTTTTCAAAAAGGTGGTGCTAGTATATTTATGAAAACAAGTATTGCTGCAAATTTTGAATCAATTAATTTACATAGGTGGTGTATAGAAGGTGAATTTGAAGTATGTAGTGGAAAAATAAAGATCGATTCTAAACTTTTTTTTATTTATTATTACTGTGTATAAGCCACCTTGTACTAAGTTTAGCACTTTTATAAATCAGCTAGAGTTATTAATTCATAATATTTATCAAAACGACAATCACTATTTTATCTGTGGTGATATTAATGTAGATCTTTTGATTGAAGGTAATCAAAAAACTGTTTTAATTGACTTATTGAAGGAATTTAATATGTGCGTTCAGTCTGCCAAGTTCCTTTAACACTTTTAACTCCAAACGACCCTTTTAGCGTTCGGTTTAGTCCGATTAGTGACAGTTTAACACGCTTAAATGTCATTTAAAAGCACCCTAAAATTTGTTCCGCTCCAGCCCCTGACTATCCGAACTCGCCTAATATTAAACATCATATAAATGTTGCAAAGAGAACAACAGATACAACCTCAACTTGTTTAGATAATTTTTTTACCAATTTTGATGTAGATAAGGTGGATGTAAATGATACTTTTTTGTCTGATCATAACTACTTATTATGTTCGATTAAACTACCTAATTTTGAAAATAACGAATTTAAATACAGATATAAACGAGATTTAAGTGATCCTAACGCAATAACTTTTATAAATATTTTATCAGTTGAAAATTGATGTGAAGTATACACATCTACTAATTTTAATGATAAATTTTCTATCTTTTATGAATCATTCCTATACCACTACAATATTGTATTTATGAAAACAAAGAAAGCGATAAAACCACAAAAATTAAAATATCAGTTTCCACCTCATATTAAAACGTTACATAATTTATTATGTGAAATGAACAGGTTAAAGAAAGAAATAAATTCTACATATTATACAGAACGTTAAAATAATTTTAAAAAAGAGTATCAAAAAATAAAACAATATTTGAGAAGAAAAAATAATGATCCTATTTTAAAAATCTGATGTGTTCAACACATGACTTTCCTATCTAGTTATTATAGGCTTTTTCAGGTTATTTTGTTCAACCTATTGCAACACCTCTATAAATGTTTAGAGGATAAAATAAATATATACATTTTCCACATACATCTACCTCGAAACATTTTTCTATAGATATTCATTGAAAATGAAAATACTGAAAAATTTAAATTTAGCACTTTCCTACAATTTTTCCATTACGGTCCATTTTGGAAAAATCATGTATAAACAAAAATTATAGAGATCGATATCGCAAACAACTTTTATTTCAACAATTTTCATAAAAATCAGAATTTTGCACATTTTGTCAAATTTCTCGAATACGGACCATTTCAGGAAATTTTAACATAAAGCAAAAATTATAGATAATAATATTAGAAATAACTTTTATTTGAACAATTTTTTTCTCCAAACATAAATAACAGATACATTCCATAAAAAATAAAAACGACCCCCCATAAAGTACCCCCCAGATGTTCCGACTTTGTCCAAAATCATTTCACGTCAGGCCGAAATAAAACTTAAGTTTAAAATTTAATGTTTTTTTCTTTATCCGTTTTTGAGTTTTCAAATTTCGAAATTTACACATTTTCTTAAATATCTCGAATAATCTGGATTAATCTTAGATAATATATGTTTTTTTGTTTGATCAGATGACTGCTTCTTCTTTGGTTTAACTATTAATTTAGGAAGGTTAGATTTGAATATTATGCCCATTGTCTTGTTTCAATACACTAGAGTAACTAACATTATGCTTTTATAATTAGTTCCTGGTCTTCAATGATCAGCTATTGTGGATTTTAAAATGTCTATAAACTCAAAATTCCCACATTTCTTGCTGTTAAACTTTAGTGTACGATTTTGTAGTGGTAGGCACCTTAATTCTAACCTACATAACTCACTACATTTTATACATACTAGATTTTTGCAGCCATCACATGGGAAACAAAGAATTTTTAAATCCTTATTAAATCCATATTATATTGCCTTGGTCATTTGAACTTAAAACTATGATTCCTAGATTTTATATACATTCTAAAATTATTTAAATTACAAAAACTAAAATTAATTGCATTATTCCCAATATCAATTAATTTTAGTTTAGTTAAGTTAAAAAACTTATCACAAACGAAATGGTTTCATTTATAGCAAGCCAAGGCAGAACAAGAGGAAGAATTCATCTCAAATACTCTTTTGAAGAAGATCCAAGCGCTCAAGAAAGAAAAGGAATCACTCGCTCATCATTATGAAAGAGAAGAGGAATGCTTAACGAATGATCTGTCGAGAAAACTGACGCAATTACGTCAGGAAAAATGTCGCCTAGAACAGACTTTAGAACAAGAACAAGAGTGCCTTGTTAACCGTCTCATGAGAAAGATTGAAAAACTGGAAGCGGAAACTCTAGCGAAGCAAAGCAATTTGGAACAACTGCGGCGTGAAAAGGTAAGTGGCTTTTTAAAAAAAGTATATGTAAATTTTTGTTCACTTTTACGAAAGTAAAATATGTCAATCGACTCTTATTCATGAGTTTTTGTGGTAATTCTTTCAGGTCGAACTAGAAAATACTCTAGAACAAGAACAAGAAGCACTCGTCAACAAACTATGGAAGCGTATGGATAAGCTAGAAGCTGAAAAACGGATGCTTCAAATTAAACTTGATCAACCTGTTTCTGACCCGGCTAGTCCCAGAGAAATAAGTAATGGCGATACTGCTAGCAATCTGAGTTCTCATATTCAAACATTGCGTTCTGAGGTAGCTAGGTTAAGATCAAATTTGGCTATCAGCCAACAAGAACATACTCAGAAAATGCAGCGTTTTGCTCAAGAGGAACGTAATATCAAAGAAGAGAATTTAAGGTTAGAGTACATTTCAGGTGCTTTAAAACATAATATATTTTTGATTGATGAAAACCAACATACCATGCTAATTGTTTTTATTGAAATTTAAGATTACAGAGAAAATTGCAGTTGGAAGTTGAGAGACGGGAGGCTTTATGCAGACATTTATCTGAAAGTGAGAGTTCTTTGGAAATGGAAGAAGAGAGACATTATAATGAACAGGTGCTAGGTGTAAGACAGCATACTGTTTCCCCGGTGCCAGCTTACAACCCATCGCCTAGTCAGAGTAGACCTTTGAGCCCAGGTAGTTGTTTTTAATTCATCTTTTTTATACTATTTATATTATTATACTCTCCCTAATTCACCTTACTAGTGAAGCAAACTGAGCATGTGTGAGGAAGGGTGTAAAAGAAAGTTTAAAACTAGCTCTCTCTTTGACAATCTTGTTTAGAACGACATCGGGTCAATAGGCCAAGGGGCTTCCTTCAAGGGGTTGGCAGGTAGGTCTGTTTATCTAATCCAGCAGTACAGCTATTTACTTATGTACAAGAAAATATTTTCTTGTCGAGGGAAGTAAAACAATGTTATGGAATTTATGTCACAGCTTATACAATACAGCTCCACAACTCCGTGTCGGCGCCTTTGATTTGGCGGTCGAGAACCAAGCAAGACAGAATGGTGCTATCTCTGTTAGATTCGACGGAAAAGTCGGGCCCGGATTAAAAAATATTTTTATTATTGAAATAATTGAATTATATTTTTTTTACTAAATCTTTGGAAAGTTTATGCATTCATATTATTTTCAATTTTTTACATAATATTGCACAGTGTTTTTGTTACAAATCCTTAAAATTTAGTCAGACTTTTTCTACTGTTTCGTTTTTGTCTTTCGCTTCGAGTTTTGTACGTTTCAATGTGCTGCTGCGTGTTTACAGGTCAAATATTTTGTCCGATTCCCTCAACATAATTCATTTTACGACTTTTCTTTCAATTATTTATAGAAATTCTTGCATGTTTTTCAGAGGAAAAATAATTTTTAATATTTCTGATTGAAGATAGCCAGAGAATAGTAAGTAAATAGCTAGACGTAAAAAATTTTTCCTAAGATTTAGTAAAAAAATTATAATAGTTTATAAAAAAATTGACTGAAAATTAAATAAACAATTGCAAATGTTATATAATTAATAGCTTAACAGAGTTGCCTTGAAGTTCAATAACCGAATTTGCATTATTTACTGAGCTACAAGCCGCAAAAGTACGAAAAACCTAAAAAAAATCAATTTTTATAAACAAATATAAAAAACAACAAATTGACAATAGGTACGGAATTGACAAATGACTTATCTGAGATATAATTTCATTGCCCACAAAAATGACTTGAATGTTTATTGTCGTATCTCCAATAGTTTAAAAGTTATATCAACTTTTAAGTCAACAAATGGATCAGCTGCTGCAACTTTGATAGTACGTATATTTTCAAAGTTTAATAAAAAATGGAATAAAATTTTTTCCGTAATTTTAAAGCACTAAGTCGTTTTTGGAATTTTTATTTCTTTAAGAAAAAAAAAATAAACCAAAGTTGGGAATTTGTTTATAACAAATTGTTAACTTAATAAACAATGGAATTATTAATAAAAAAAAATTTTTGCTGTCACTTTGTAGAGGACTGTCAATTATGATTAAAAAAAAAAACATTTCTTAACTAATAATTTAAACAATAGATATATTAAAAAAACGATTACAAACAATTAAAAGTTATTATTAAGAAAGAGTTTTTTTTTTTTAAATCATAATTGGCAATTGTCTAGAAAGTTGCAAAAAAAATTTGAAAAAAATTTAAATACTCCATTTGTTTATAAAAAATTTATAAACAAATGGAGGAAAAAATTATTTTTTTTTAATTAATAAATGTCTTTTCTCGACATTAAAACAGTAATATTATAATAAATTGAAAAAAAAATGTTTTATAGCACCACTGTGACTTTTGTTTTTGTAAACTTTAAAAAATTATTATAAACAATGTATTAACATTTTTTAAACTTTTATGAAGCTATTTTGTTTTATATGTATATAAAAAGAGCTCCACGAAGCAAAAAAAAAATTACGGTAATTATTTAATATTTTTATCAATTTGTAATGATGAGAAAAATTCTAAAAATTTTGTTAATTAACAATAACATACTTTGTTGGAAAATTAATTTTTATGAAAAAATCCAACGGGAATGAATTCTTCTAAATGTTTAGAATACGCCGTAATTTATTTAAATTTTTGAATTTAATTTTATTACCTTAAAAAAATTATTTTATGTAACGTACTCGGTTTCGACGCCGTGCGCACAATCTAAAAATGGCGCGCGGAAGGCGTTAAATTAAAATTATAAATAATGGAGGTACTTATAGCAAATTTCCTCCTTTTTAAGGATCTTTTTTGAAAAATCCAAAAATATTTATAGTTTACAAACTATAGGCGAAAAACCAAACACCATGAGTTTGAGGTGTTTAATTGTTTATAACTTTTGCAATTTTTTATGCACTGCAAAATTTTTCTTCACACATTGATCTAGACATTATTCCGAATCGAATGAGCTATTGAACATAATTTTCGTAATAGTATGTCCCAAAAACACGCTTTTGAACTTGTTGATTATACCTACAATGTATACAAAACAAAAAATATATTCAAAAAACATACCTAATTAAATTACATATTTCTCCATATTATAAGTTTATTCTGAATATTCCCAAAATTTCCATTAATAGTTTTTATTGTATAATAAATCCTAATTCTTATGTATAACCTAAATACAAATTCTTTTGGAAAACGTCGGCATGGATGACTAAAGGGTATTGGGTTAATTAATTCTAAAAGTGTGGTACAAATGTTATTTTTTGTAGCCAATTCTTCAAAATTATTTTGAAATATCTTTTCAATATTGAAAATTAGTTCTACAAATTCATCATTTGGCATTTGCAGATTTCCAAATGTATCTGAATGCAATAAAAAGAATAATCATCTAATTCATCGTGATCTTTGTTATATTTAAGACAGATATCATAGGAGTGGATCCGCAAGGCTTTTATTAAAAGGTAACCACACACGTACCTAATAAAATTTTTCTGTAGCATTTGTCTATACAATAATTTAGGGGGTGTTAATAATTTCATCATAAAATAAAATACAGGATGTTCCATTTAAAAAACATACATTTTAATTTGCCAGGCAAAAACTCGACAATACCTTTTATTTAAAACTTTTTTGCGTGTATACAACACAAATTGAAATAATGAACAATTACGCACTAATGCGACACCCTGTATAAATTATATTATTAACAATGAAAATTTATTATAATGTAGTACTTATCGGTTTGGGTCCTTGGGAAAACAAAAGAATGTTTTCTTGCAGGTATAACTCTTATTAAAACAGCTTTTGACTGCACAAATGATGTCTTTTTTTTTTCACTCATTCTTCTCACAGGTAAAGAGTCACCAAAATAATAACAGTACCTTTAACTTAACACAACAGAGAGCTCAGACAAAATCAACGAAATTATAGGTTCAATGAAATTATACAATCAACGAAATTATACGCACGGCTCAATACCTTACCTAAATACGCTTCTGAACGCCAAAGCCGTCTTTTCCGTCCGAAGGCGGAGCTTAAGCGATGCGCGACGGAATCGACGCAAACCGTTGCCGCCAAGAGAGTGTTTTAGCTGTATTGTATAAGCTGTGGTTATGTTACATTAACGGACTCGTCTCTTAGGGACAATGTTAAAAAAAAATTGGTAAAAATAACGGTATCATAACTGTTACAGCTTTATTGAGGAGGTTCTACAGTTGCTTTTTGAAAATAGATAAAATAACTGAATGACCAGTTTTTCTATTTTATTAATTTGGTTTTTAGCAATTTCATAATGGATTATTACGTTTGTTGTGATATTTTTAACATTTTCACTGGATATTAAAAATACTATTATAAGTTTATTGTATGGGCACGATTCCCCACTCAGCCATTCACTGTTGGTTTTTAATTAACAGTGCTGTTCCTAAAGTGGCGCTGGAAAACAGCAACAAAGTCTACATATAACACGAGGCTAAAACCCTTAGAAAAAATTGATTTTTAAATTTTATATATTCGGAAAACATTATTCTCATTAAAGCATACTTTTTTCTAGGCTTGAATACAATGCAATCTCCAAGAGATTCTTTAGTGGTAGGTCCACCGAGGTGCCATTCATGTGGACAACTTTTGAATCATCCTGTGAACCCTGCCTGCATCTCTTCGGCTCTACACCCAGTTGGTTCGAGCAGTCCTCCTGCTCCACACCGAAGAACCAGTGAACGGTTCATCAAGCCGGCGATACCAGCTGCACCTCAGCCCGCTAGTCCAATGGACACTTCCGTCAACAAAGACTAGTAAGGTAATGTAATAAATAACATTAAGATTTAATAAATTATGTTGATCACATTTTGCCTGTGAAAAGCTCTACAAGGGTAAGATAATAAGATTTTCAGATTGAATTTTAGGAGAAAAATGTTTTTGTTAAATAACTTGACTATCGTTTAAACCAGGAAGAAGTGGTTTGCATCGTTGAATTTCTCTTTAAAAGCTCTACAAACTGGTTTTTACTAATTCATTCTGGGCTGTCTGTAGGTTAAGATAATAGGATTTTCAAATTTAATTTTAACAAACATGATTTTATTAAATTACTTGACTATCGTTTCAACTAGGAAGAAGTGGTTTGAATCAAATGAAAAAGCGTTGCAAGATAAAAACACCGAAATTCAAGAACTTAGGAAAGAATTTGAAAAAACAGAAACATAATATGAATATGGAGGAAATAAGAATCAAATGCAACTGTACTTAAAGATAAAATTGATGATGATAGAAATAAAATCATGGAGGTGTTAGGGAATTTAAACAAAAACGATAAAGCAAAGGAAGTTGTGAAAGTTTTTTATTTTTATTTATTAAATACACTGTTCTACAGGCTAAATGCCTAGTTATAGAGCAGGAAAAAAAATTGTAATTACAAAAGTAAATATAAATATAACATATTGCACAATAAGACATAATTTGGATATAACATAAATTACACAATATAACAAAAATTACATAATATGACAAAAATTAAATAAATTAATGACTATACACAAGCAAATAGCTTTACAATTTTTTGAGCTGCGAAAGCTTACAAGAAAATAAATCAATTCTACCTTGCAGATTGTTGCAGTTTTCACACATAAAATACAATGACGAGTTTTTTAATAAATTTGTCCGAGATAACGGGAGATAAAACATTAAGTTGTTCCGAGATTCAATTTTTGACACTTTAAATACAAGTTGTTCTAATAACTCGGAACAATCAATTTAGTAGTTAATAAGTTTATAGAGGAATATTAACGACTGATTTTTTCGTCTACATTCTAAGCTTTGCATTTGAAATCTATTTAAAAGTAATGTGTGATTTATCCCAATTAGGCATTCCAACGACCTGTCCAAATGGCTACCAGTGGGTACTGACAGTTTAGATATGGCAACCCTGTTGTCATGTTGTCATTAACAGGGTCAATGATACATATATGTTATATACATTGCTCAAAGCTGGTCGTTTGCGAGCAGCCATATTGCCTGGCAAATATTTATTAATTTGAATCAGTTTAGCAAAAATGTGTTTTAAAACCAATTTTCAGACTTTAGATATTTAAAAAATAATAATTGCTTATATTTTTACTTCAAGGCATAAGCTTATATTTATTTTAAAAATAGGGATGATCAATCTATGTAACTATCTATTTCACTCACCTTGTCAAATCACCAGGCCTACAGAGTTGCCATAACTTTGCCACATCATAACCTGTCAAAACCCACTGGTAGTCATTCAGTTTAGAATGCCTAATTGGTGGATATATTCCGTCTATCTTAAATGTTAAGAATTTTAGATATCGTCAGAGACAACTAATGAGACGGTTAACTCAATGCAATTTTGCTTTTCACCAAGAATTGACTGGGCGATTGGACTGGAAGATAAACCCGATGGCGCCGGTATACCTTGTGCTTTAATAGTGGCCTTTTTCTTTATAAGCAACCAGTCAATTTAAAATTTTTCTTTAAAAAAAGATGAACCGCGGGAAATTCAGTAGATCCACTTTATCTATTATTTTTATGATTTTTTCTGATTTGATGCACTGGAAATGTGAATAAATATGTAATTCCATTTACTAGCACATCAAATCAGAAAAAAAAACATTTTTTTTTAGGCACACAAAATAAAAAGTATTAAAATGGAAAATAAAACAAAGTTTGATTTCAATAATAATATATATTCTGTATTAAACAATAATAAACATTCACACCACAAAGGTTCTACAATAAAATTGAAATACTTACTTTATGGAAATTAAACAAAATCCCGGCGTGATCCTGGCATTGTTAGTTCCTTCGGGTTTGTAAACAAACTTAAAACTACCTAACATGGAGGAAGGATAATTACCTAATATGAAAACACCACGATGAAAATGTCATTCACCGAGGAAAACACTAAACTAACAAATTTAAAAACGTAACTAATAATGAATGAAAAACCAAAAAATGAATTTACAAGTTAAATTGTAAAACGAAAAGAGAATAAAACGACACCAAAGTCACCAAACATAGAAACAAAAAATAGGACTAGGAGGAGATAAAATGACAGGTTAGAAATACGTCAATCTGGCAGACGTCAAAGTGAAATGCTCGTGCTGTGATGCCAAACTTATTTTCTTCTAGTGCTATTTATTTTTGATCTTTGTACACAATCCTGCTATATATTTCTTAAAACACATCTTTTGTTATATATATTATATACAAAGCAATTAAAAGTCCAATATAAGTATTACTTATGGATAAATAAAGATCATTATTATTTAAATGTAAAAGAAACAAATTTGGAAAATGTTCATAACGGCAACATTGCTGGAACGTTACCAGCGACATCTACCCTATCTTTTAGCTTATGAGAAAAAGATAACGTTATAAGGAAATAATGTACATGACAAAGATAAAATACCAGCTGACCCTGATGACTACTATATCTAAATGTCAATCAATTTTTGCTATGAAGTTAACCGTCTCGAGTTGTCTCTGATATCGTCTTTGAACGTTTTCAAGAGCGTTAAATGAATATCATAAAATGGTTTCCATATTATTGAAGCATATTCTAATTTTGATTTGACGAACGCATTGTACAACATATTCATGGTTTCGATAGAATTGAGGTCAACTGCATGCCTAATGATAAATCCCAAATTTCTGAATGATGACAAAATCAGGCCTATTTAATATAACACCATCCAAACAGTAGTTATAGAGAATTGGAAAATCTTTTTTGGTATATGACACTATATTACATTTTTTTGAATTTAATGGAAGATTATTTATTAAACACCAATTATTTATTTTGTTAATATTACTTTGTACTTTAAGACAATCATTTAAGATATCTACCTGATAAAAATTTTTGACATCGTCTGCATAAATTAAATATTTTACGTTAACGTCATTAATGATGTCATTTACGAATAGTATAAATAAAAGAGGTCCCAGAATCGAGCCTTGAGGTATGCCAGAGGTTACTAAGATATCGGCAGTCTCAAATCCACGCACTTCAACAAACTGGGTTCTGTTTGTTAAGTAAGATTGAAAAAAATGTATGAATGACTTGGACAATCCAAACTTGCAGTTCTACATGTTGGTAAACCATTGGGATCAAGACCAATCAAAGTAGTTTTTCAAATAGAAATGCTGTTCTTGAAATATTAAAGAACAAGAAAAAATTAGAAAATTCTAATATTAAGATAAATAATGATCAAACGAAGGTGCAAAGAGATTTGAAAGAACATTGAGGGATAATAAATCAATTGAATCTTGAGGTTACAGGCATTTCTTTTAATAAATTTAAGGCAATCTGTACGAATGCACTGGACTAAAAATAAAATATTACGGACGGATTTACAATACTTAAAATGCATTTATTAATATAAAACTTATTTGACTTAATTTTAACTTTTTTTTCTCTTACTTGTATTTTTTAATTTAATTTATAATTTACAATTATCTGTATCATTTATGTGTTTTGCTTTGTAAAGGGGTTGATCCCGTTTAAATAAATAAATTAAGTTGTCCGTAAGGCCAGAAAATAGGATTGTCAGATCAAATTTGGGGGAAAGATTGAGATCAACTCTGAAATTAATTCAAGGGCGATACAGAACTTTGGTTCGGAACATGTTAGATGTATTTCCAACACTACTTAAATGTATGTTTTAGAGCAAACTAAACATTAATTATTTTTACACTTAAAACTATTTAAAAGGCGCTCTGATAAAACAAGGAACGGTAGATATTGGCTTCAGACCATTACTTATCAATATTTCATTTATTTCTCATGTACCTGATCCGTAGTTGAAACACTTTGCGAGGATAATTCATTAAACAATCATTTGTTTGTTGGAATTCCTTTAACCTACTGCACAAGAGCCTGATGATACAACAAACAGGTGTTCACTCTGTTGGAACAATTTGTAAAAACAAATAAGTACCAGGAATATCATTTCTTTACCTCATGAAATATGGTCTAATTTCTATTTTTATCACAGGTTGACAGATAATTTTGTAATATTTATTTTATTTTCTAATAGTGATCAATATTTTTATTTGGAATTTTATATTGTTTCAGATAAAAGTGATATTTTGATGTAATTGTTCCTGGTGTATCGAGAATTCTGCTCTAAAGTGAAGAAATTCGTATTTTATAAATTCTCCACTGAACAGTACATTCACCAGATCAGGAGCAGCTGAATCTTCAACTTTTTAGTTAATAATTTTGTTTTGCTTTGTCACCGTTTTTATATAATATATATCCATGTACTTATGCCATTTACATAAGAGGGGACCTCCTATTCTAACCCCCGTTAAAATGTTTTTAATTAAATGTTTATATTATGATATAACGCAATAAAATAAAAATTGGTAATTTTGCAGACTAGACGATTGTTATCTAAAATTGTTAATTCTCGTACCATGGGTGGGTGCAAATTTTAACAGTTTGTATTAAGAAAGTCAAAAGAATATACATATAAATTCGATCCAACATTTTCTATTTGAAATCAAAAATTTAAATGCTGTTTGGTACTCTTAAAATAACGTTTTCTCTCCCTTTGTACCCACTCACGCATTGAACGTAAAATTGTTCGTTTAGTCTAAAATTTATTCGTATATTCATACTTTGGGAACTTAAAGTGTTCCACAGATGGAATAAAAAAAATTCTGAATAAAATTGACCATTCACCAATACCCAAAGAGTTTTGTTTCTTTTTTTTTTAGTCATAATAAACGGTGTTATCACTCTCTTGATTATTGAAAATTTTCACGTGTCTGAATGTTGTAGCTTCGTTTGTTATGATGTCATTGACATAAAGAATGAATTAAGACTTGTACTATTAATTATTATTGGAAATTGGTGTTAGTATAATAAGTGCTCTTCTGTTTCGTTTAGATAAAAAAATTAACTCAACATGGTTTCCAAAGTTTGAACATTACAGTAAGGGACACCATGTATATTTTTTATAATTCACCAGTTTGTTGCCAAAATTTTGTCGTGGCATAGCCATTTTCACATTTCATGTGATATTTAATAAAGTTGAACAATGAAAATTTTAGTATAGAGGTATTTTCTATGATATTGAAATCATTTGAAATGTATTAAAATAAATAGAAAGTAAACTTTTGAATGTGTCTGCTATATTATTTTATTAATAAACTGCATTACTCTACACTTGAATGATGGAATAAAATTCTTGTATTTTTTTGTCTTTTTGTGTTTCCTGCTTTCCTCTAAAAAAAGGGATTTTTAAGAAATTAAATCCATTATTAACGACGAAGAAATCTTTTAAAAAGTTAGACAACAGAAATAGTAAGATACATAAGTTCATTCGCCTTAGTAAACACAAAATTTAAAAATTATCTCTTGAGTTAGGGATGTTATTAATTTGCTCTGGGCACAATTCGTATAATTATAACATTGAAATAGGTACGAGTCGCTAAATTTTATGTGTAGGTATAGTATTTTCTAGACAAAGATCAAGATTTATCTAAACAAGTAATTTAAAAATTCAATTTAAAGTATAATTTATAACCACCGTAACGTAACTTAACGCCGTAGAAACCAGAGACTGGTAACTCAAATAGAAAAACATGAGGTTGGTAATTTAGTACCACTCCAATTAACGGGATGGCGCTCGTATCGAAATGTCATGTCAGTTGTCAAAACTTCAAACTTGGAGAAATTAAAATGGCTACCGTAGAATGAGGTGAATCGGATCAATAAGTGGGATTTTCATATTCAAAACCTCAAAAAATTATATTTTAATCGAAACTCCTATTTTTTGTTTAATTGGTTGTATAACTATTCCTTCTATAACGATCAGTGATATTTTGTCGTTCAGCAGTTGGTAGCTACCTTTCCGACTGGCCGCGCCATCGGGTTTTTAATTTCTAGGTGGACTCACACTTAAAAGTTAAGTGATCCTATACACACCACAGAAGGGAGTATGCGTTTAAACATTAAAAAAGCATGGTCGATCCTATTCACCACAATGGCAGGTGAATAGGATCAGCAAACAAAAAGATATATATGCGGGAAACGAATCGCTGAAAAAAAATTTTTGAATCAAAAATGAATAGAGAAGATATAAACTCATATTTTGATATATACAGGATCTGAGAGATACGCTATTTTAAAATTTAAAATTGATCCTATTCACCCCATTCTACGGTGTATTGAATTTTGATTCATCTAGAACAGCCATACTCAACCTGTGGCCCGCGAGCCGCATGCGACCCTCCAAGCTTTTTTGTGCGGTCATCAGAGACCCTCCAAGCTTTTTGTGCGGCCCGCGGCCTTCCAAGCTTTTTTGTGCGGCCCGCGGCCTTCCAAGCTTTTTTGTGTAGCTCCAAACACTAATATTAGAAAGGTGCTTTTTAAAACTATTGCTTTTTGTTTTTAAAATTTTGAACGAAAATGCGCTAAAACATTAAGCGAAATAACTATAAAACAACATGACGACCTTTTTTTTAGAAAATATTTAAATCGGATCCCTATCGTCACCCATTGTCCTTTTATTTACATTTCAAAAAGGTGGCAACTCTAGTTATCAACCGAAAAATATTGCAGCCTGTGTATCATAACAACAAAATATTGCGGCCCGTGTAGCATAACAAAGAAATTTATGTGGCCCGAAAGAAAAAAAGGTTGAGTACAGCTGATCTAGATTTATTTTTCAACACCTTCCAATTTTAAAAATGTTTTCAAACGATGAGAAGATGGATTTCAGCAACAAACAATAAAGCACTCCCAGATATTGGTAGTGATGCAATTTATACCACATTAAATATGCAGTCGTCATATTAAGGATAACCAAATAATTTGTAATAAGTGTCTTAAGAAAAATGCACCATCACTGTTTGGCACCAACAGTAAGTAATATTTACAAACTTGTGTTTGATTCAGTGTTAAAATGGTTTGTTATTTAATTTTCTTTTTGTTTTCAGTTTTTAAATGATCATTGTTGTAAAGAAAATGTTGGCCCTCCAAAATACCCTGTCGATCGATGAAATATTTGAGCCTCAGCTATCAGTATCAAAAATTGATTCAATGCCATTGACATCAAACAAGAAAACACCCTAAAATCTTCAAGGGTCCAAACGTGTGTAAGTTTAATTTATACTCAAAAGTTAAATTCATTTATCAGGGTGACCACATAATGAATAAAAATTTGATAACTACAAGAAAACAATTATCGGATGAAGAAATGCTCCTCAACCTAACTAGTCGACTTGATAACCGTATGGAAAATTTTATCCATACTCAAATTTGCCTCGATAGTAAAAAAGGATGATGCTTCAACTTCAATTTTTTCAAACTGATTTGCCACTCCAAGTCGCAAAACTTTTATAAATGTCTTGAGCACTTATATATGTTGATTTTGTTACAGAAAACATTTTTGATAAGTATGTGTTATAAATATTTAATTATTTAAATGGTGTAAATGCATACTTGTTTAGAGTATTTCCATGTTTAAATAGACAAATTATATGATGCGGCGTTAATTTACTGTAATAAAAAATAAAATGAAATGCATTTTATTTCAAGTTTGAAATTAATGCAAAAATATAATGAAGTAAAATCAAAGATATAAATTGGCAAAATGTTTGACTAGTTTCAAATCACAAAACAGTCAATATGGTTGTTTTATGATTTGAAACTAGTCAAATATTTTTCCAATTTTTTTGGTTTATTTGATTTTATTCATTACATTTTTGCGCTACTACAAAGTTAAATTTCAAAATACCCGCTCGTGGCGGCCATATTGAATTTTAGTACCACTCCAATTTGATAGATGGCAGCACATCGACTCAGAATTTTACCATTGAGTTCCCATCTATTCACATTAGTATTCTATGATCTCAATGTTCCAGTTTATACACTGCGCAACTCGGATAATACAATATATGACAACCGTCTATAATAAAACAGCAGTCTTCTGCGTATCCTGTATAAACTGGAACATTGAGATCAAAAGTGCCGACGCAGAGTGAGCGATCTGATTCTTTAGCTATAAACTGTGGCATAGGAATCAAAATGGCCGCGCTCTATGTTGGTCGTGTCGGACCTCTCTCTTGCGCCGTATAGTAAAGAAAATCAAAGTATGTGATATATGCCGCGTTTGAGAATCCACATCGGATGCATCTGACATGTTATGAATTTTTTATCACGTGATAGAGAATTAGATCTGAATGTAGATGTAATAAACAAACGCTCTAGACTTTATTTGGTCACGTGATAAAATGTCAATGACAAGTTAGAAGTTTATACTTATTAAATTTGACTTTTGAGACTACAAATCAATCTAAATTTGAAATATAAACAAAAATTAAACAAACTAGTCACTTTTATATTCATAACAAAGGATAAATTGACAAACAAGACTTCACAGAACTCTTACTTTCTGGCATGGAACGAACATCTCATTCACATCTCATTCCAAATCGAGATGTAAAAAATGTAATCTGAACAGGTATATCTGGGATAAACAAACGCAGATGTAGATGTAGTAGATGTGTCCGATGTGGATAAAAAAACGCTCGAGATGTAAAAAATGCATCCGATGTGGATTCTCAAACGCGGCAATAGCTATTACCACCGATGTGAAATTAGCAGTAAAAATAACCGAAAACACCCGATCAGGAAAACAGTGGCGTCCGACATACAATTATTTAAATAAAAAAAGCTACAAAAAACCCACCAGGTAATGGGTCCTATGATTGAACGTTTACGTTATCCATAACGTACATGTTAGGCTCAGTTTTAACAGTAATTAGGCAAGTTCGTATGATGAAAAACGGTTTCCAACACATTACTGTTATTTTCCGCCTGTTGTGTTCTAATTTAACAGTTTTCCATCATACAAACTTGCTTAGTTACTGTTAAAATTCGACCTAACATGTACGTTATGGATAACATAAACGTTCAATCATAGGACCCCTTGTATGGTGTCGCGACAGAGTGCCCGCTAGCTTGATATAGCCCCCAATATTTAAAAAACTGGCCATGAACAGAAGATCCTTAGATAAAAGAGACCCGTCTAAAGAGAAGAGCCAAATGTCAATTGTCAAATGCTTGGGAATTATTTATTTTTATTTTAAAATTTGGTTTTGGTAGCACTGATCTGTCTTTTATAATTTCTAACTCAAGATGGTAGGTTGTTAATTTTTTAAAATCCTGGTTCATCTTAATCTTACTAATGTTAAATAAGTCAACGAAAATATAATAAATAATATTTTTATAAATTTTTTGCCATACAAGTGATATTTTTTTCAATTAATCTGTGAAAAATATGTATGTTCCAATTTAAAAGTGACCAATTCTGCTGTTGTGTTTAGTTTTAAAATACGAATTGTGAATGATTTAAGTGTATTAATTTGTTTAACAGTTCATTGAATCAATTACATATTTATGGAAATCCAGTTGGAAATGTACAATTATACTATAAAAAAGATTGTTACAGAAACATAACCTTTAAATACTTTTTCAGGCTCGAGGACCTAAAAAGCATTTGAAACGTTTAAATGCGCCGAAAGCATGGATGTTGGACAAATTGGGAGGTGTATTTGCTCCACGTCCATCCACCGGCCCTCACAAACTAAGGGAATCATTGCCTTTGGTAATTTTCTTGAGAAATAGGCTGAAGTATGCCCTTACAAACAGCGAAGTAACAAAAATTGTTATGCAAAGATTGATAAAAGTCGATGGAAAAGTTAGAACCGATGCCAATTATCCAGCTGGATTTATGGGTAAGTCAATATTAAAGAAATTGCCAACCAAGAATGTAATTTTTTAAAAAATTGCTTAACCTTGATACTTAAGAAGCACCTATCTAGAAATTACAATTTTGTTTACTTTTAAATATTAAATGATCACATTCTTTTTTAACTTAAACAATACACTAAAATCATTTTTGCTAAGCATAATTTGTCTAGTTTATTATTTTACTAAGAAATAGCCTTCATAGTAGTGCTATTCGCTTTTTTTTTCATCCCTAATGAATTATTCTACCAATCTGTTTAGTATTCACTTTTTCTTGTAATTTGAAAGCTGTGTTTAGTATTTAATCTTATTAAAAGAAATGTGTTTTGTAGATGTTATCACCATTGAAAAAACTGGAGAATTTTTCCGTCTTATTTATGATGTAAAAGGAAGGTTTGCCATTCACCGTATAACAGCTGAAGAAGCTAAAGTAAGTAATAATAAATGTTCTTTATTGAATTACAATACCCAACAGACCATCAACAGCTTAGTAATGATATATTTTTCAAATATGGTTTAACTACTAATTTATTGTGAACAAATTTGTATTTATTAAAAAAAATTTTGTTTAGTTGATTTCAAAATATAGCAATATAACTACTAGATTTTAGATGTGTAGAAATTTTCAAAAACAAAAAATATTAGTTTGTATTTAAGCATCATTTATGTGAATTAGGCTAATAGTTTATCTTGAACCAAACACAGGAAAAAATGGTCAATATCCATAAATATAAATACATATTCATATAACTACCAGATAGCACATAAACATATTGTGAACTTGGATATTATTCCAAACCAAGGAGACTGTATGATTATTTAAAACACACTTCCCTTTATTTGTCTGATGATGTTTTAAGGCATTTAAGAACAGAAAACTTCTATGAAAAATGTGATTCAAATACTTACTCATCTGAATCTGATGAAAATAGTATGCACTAATTGTAAATACAATTTTTTATCTTAAATTTACTTATTTCCTTTTAGTACAAACTTTGCAAAATTAGGAGAGTCCAGACTGGACCAAAAAATATACCATTCATTGTAACACATGATGGACATACACTTCGTTATCCCGACCCCAACATCAAAGTAAATGACACCATTCAATTGGAAATTGCCACATCTAAAATCCTGGACTACATTAAGTTTGAATCTGGTAACTTGTGTATGATTACTGGAGGTAGAAATTTGGGTCGTGTTGGTACGGTAATCAATAGGGAACGTCATCCAGGATCCTTTGATATTGTACACATTAAGGATGCTAATGGCCACGTGTTTGCTACTAGGTAAGTCAATGTACAAATATTTTATATTTATTTTTATTGAAAAGCTTTATATATTAATTTTGACTGGGCAAATGAATGTGAATACAAGTGATAATTTATTGGTTACAAAGAAAAAAAAATGTTTTGCTAGGCATTATGTCATCCCTTTTTTTTTATAACTTTCTCAACACATATCTGCATAGGGCCAACAAGTTTTTTACAGTGCTGTTTTCTGATATTTTTTGAACTTGAAACTATATAAGGTGTAGCCTTAATTAGTTTTTGTTGTACAATCTTATTTAACCAGTCTAATTTTTACAAAAGCTCACATATGAGTATTATCAATAAGATTTAAATCCAGCAAGTTTCTTGCCTTTAAAATATTTTGTCATGACATGGAGCTGAATCTTGTTAAAAAACTGTTGGCATCAACTTTTTTCTAAATTCAGCTTAAATACAATATCTTTATTTACCTGAGAAAATATTACATTTTATAGCTCGTCAAATTACAATTAAAACTAAATATATATAATAAAATTTACCTAAATATAAAAATATAAAATTGAAATTTACAAACATTTACAACATAGTTCACTGAATCACTTAGAGGCCACAGTGACAGCCTCCTCCATCTGTTTTGATTTAAATTCCTCTAAGCTATAGAGGTATTTATTGGATAACATTTGTTTTAATGCATGTTTAAATTTATCTATAGGCTGATTTCTAAAATTAGAAGGTTTTGATAGATTATTACTGCATAAAGTGTCATAATTTTAAGTTCTGGGAATACTGGTTTACAACTGGCTTGCCAAGAAGCATGTGTTATGGCTCTTATGGTTGTTTTTTGCAAAATAAAGACTCTTGAGATATGTGTGTCAGCAGCATTGCCCCAACATATTGCCCCGTATGTCAAATGACTATGAAATAGAGTATAGTAAGCAGTAATTGCTGCATCTTGACCAGATATTTGGCATATTTTTTTGATAGCAAAAACTGCTGACAATTTGGAACAAAGTGCTTCAATATGATCTGTCCATCTGAGATGTGGATCAATTTGAATGCCAAGTGTTTTAACATAATTGTTATTAACTTGTTCACTATTTACTGTAAATAATTAGGAGATAGTTTTTGTGTTATTTAAAAACAGGTCGTTTACAGAAAACCACCTCTTTGCTTGAATCATGACATCAGAGTAAACTTGTTCATGATTTGTTCCTCTTTTAGTATTAGTACAAAAAGAAGTATCATCAGCAAATATACATGTGATAAGGTTTTCAAAATGCATATGGTCAGGAAGATCATTAATATATATCAAAAAGAGTAATGGACCTAAAATTGAGCCATGAGGGACACCTCTCCTGATATGCATACAAATCCCTCATACTCCATACCTCTCCAGTTTTGGATAATAGAATTGAATGATACACACAGTCAAAAGCAGAGCTTAGATCTGTAAATATACCTAAACAGTTTTCAGCTTTTTCAAACCAATTTTCTATATATTGTACTAGAGATAATACTGCATCTATTGTAGATCGCCCCCTTCTAAAACCATACTGGAATGGCGTGAGTGTTGGAAGAATTTAAATATGATATTAGATTATTATACATAATTTTTTCCAAGATTTTGGAGAATATGGGAAGTACAGCAATTTGTCTGAAGTTGCAAGGCTGAGAAGGGTCTCCTTTTTTAAATAGAGGACAGACCTTAGCAATTTTCAAAGTCTTTGTTCTATTGTGTATTTGTATTTTAGTTCATCATGCCTTTGACGCTTAAGTATCTTTACAAAAAAAGCATTCATAAAACTAAGAAAAGTTGATGCCAATAGTCAAACAGTTGTTCAGTAAGATACAACTCCATGTGGTGTGTTGAATGTCATGATGAAATATTTCAAGGACAATACTTTTAGGCCTTAAACAGTTAGCCATATTTATTTGGTCTAAATTATACTGAAAATAAGTTGGCTAATTGAGGCTGTAAAACATTATGTCAAAACGTATGAAAAAGTTATAAAAGCCATTAGAACAATTTCACTTTATTGAAGTAAAACTTCTTAGGCTGAGGTTCGATATTTGATAAGTAGGGAGTGGTCCGATATTTGGCGATAATGAAGTAAAATTTCAAAAACATGTAATGGTACACCGTCATGCGTGTGTAACCATGGTAATGTTATGAAATTAAAAGAACATTGACCTTGAGTGTTTATAATATCTATATGATTTTTCTGTTTGAAAGATACAAGGCAGAGTAGAGATTGAAGTAAAGTGAATTTGAGTGGAGAGCAAGTGGGGGTGAAGTGGGATAGAGTGAGGGTACAGTGGGATAGAGTAGGGTAAAGTGGTGGGGGTGAAGTGGGATAGAGTGAGGGTACAGTGGGATAGAGTAGGGTAAAGTGGTGGGGGAGTAGAGTGGGATAAAGTGAAGGTTGAGAGAGATAGAGTAAAGGTTGAGTGGAAATAGAGTAAAGGTTGAGTGGAATAGAGTGAAGGTTGAGGGGTAGAATAAATAGAGAGAGAAGAGACAAAATGGCTGCTTGCAATACTCGCTTTGAGAAATCTATTATAACTATTTATATCATTGTTATCTACATCACCTAGGGTCAACTGTTGCCTAATCAATTATTATATACACACGCACCTGTATCTCTCTTATTCTCCAGTTTTTAAGAAATTTTACTTCTCTCACGTGTACGGTGCTGCACGCAAATTTTTTTACTATTATCTTTTTTTTGTAACCAATATATTAATTTTTTATATAGTCACTTGTGTTGATGATAATATGAAGGCCTGCTCAAATATTTTTTAATTTTCAGGTTACATAATGTATTCATAATTGGTAAGGGAGCCAAAGCTTTTGTATCTCTTCCAAGAGGAAAGGGAGTTAAGTTGTCCATAGCTGAAGAAAGAGATAAGAGGCTAGCAGCAAAAACCCACTAATTGTAATGTGTTACATTATTTTCAATAAAATATAAGAAAAAAAAACTGAAATAAGTGCTTATCGTTTCTAATGACCCTTCAGAATAGGAAAGTACTAAATCATCAGGGTACTGCCAAAGTTTTGCTGAACTTCTCTGTCTATAACAATCGGAATGTCTTCTAGACTATGCAAATGAATCATAAAATGCTGTAATTAGTCATTGCGCTAAAGTTCTATGAGATTTTCAGAGAGGATTATAATGTTGAGCAAAATGACATTCTTCACACATTCCATTACTCATTAATTTATTCAAATAGGCATACTACACTAAATAAAATATACATACTCAAAGCAATTAATTTGGGTCACATAAAAGACAGAATATAGACATTCACAAAATATATATTTAAAATTATCAAACAATCACCTAGGTATACCTAGGATTCATGTAATGATTTTCACATGATATATTTTAACAAGATTATACCAAACAAAAATTTCATAAAGTGGACTTATCAATATTTTATCAAACTATTAACATATTTACTAGCAGTGCTGGATTTAACATAGATCAAATGAAAAGGGAGTCAAAGTTTATGTCCAAATTTAATTCAGCTGTATATCTATTAAAATTTTGCAAATTGTATGGATAGGTGAATTTGTCAAAATATTTGTTCGAGATGTGGGCAAGTAAAATACTGTTTTATTAAAGCCTGCTTTTTTCAAGTTAATATTTTCCTCTTATTTGCGTGATAAGGATGAAGAGTGATCAGCAGAGTTCATAGATTATAGATATCCTAAATTTCTTCGGCGTGCATGTACGTTCGAGTTATGATTAAGTTGGTATTTTATTTGGAACCATTGGGATCTAAAATTAAGATCGCAGCGCCGTCTGTACTTAACATTTAAACTAAAAGTTGTCACTTGTTATTGTTTACATTTTTGAGTTTGTAAACAAACAGACAATATTGTGCTATTTTAAGGAAAACATTATTAATTTTTAGTGATTAAACACTTTTATTTCAATAGTTTTTAGGTTAAAGTAAAATATATATTTTTATTTGGTAAGTAACCCCCTATTAATTTTGTTTTGGCATTATTTTCATTCACTTAATGTTAATTTAAGATATTTGTGTTATCTTTTAATAAAATATTAATATTTGTTCTATTTTTAATAAGATGTCTGAAATGAGGCTAAGTTTAATAGAACTTATGAAGTATATTGGTGCAGGTGAAAATTCCAGGACTTATTAAAGAGGCTATTTTAAATGCAGACATGTTTTTTTTTTTTGTGGAAAGAATGAATTTAGTGATAAACGTATATCTGTTTATGCAGTTGTTCTCAAAACTAGTACATTGAATTCAGATCCCCATATTGTTGTAGGCCAGTTCCCATTCACAAGATGTTAGAAATTGGTGAATGGCAATGTTTGTTTTAAGCTGGGAACAGTGGACAGTACACATATTTCAGGAGTTTTAATAAAGTGTTCTAGGTGTATACTGTTTTAAATAATAAAAGAACTATCAAGCTAATTCCATTGAATGCCTTATGATTTTGTTCTACACCCACATGTATATTATTTATTCTACGCACTGACTACAGAACGAAAAAGTAGGCCATTGAATGAATATATTTATATGAATGTCGGTTTTCTTCCACTATTTCCCAATTATTATTGATAAATCAAAAAAAACTAATAAATAAAAATTAAAAAAATATTAGGTTAATTGCATTCTTCTATACAAAATATTTTTGGAGGCCTCTTTCTTGCATTATTTATTTCTTCTTTTTAGCTGTCAATTTCTTCTTTTTTTAGGCTTTAACCTTATACAGTAACGAGTTTAAAATATTGGCTTACGTTCTTCAAAAATAGAGGCAGCAAAATTTTTACGATGGTGTAGAAGAAGAGTGTCATTTGACAGAGATTATTTGTAGAAGTTGTGATCTACTTCCGACTTCCACATACTCGGTCTTTTCCTTTGCATCGAAAGTGTAGCACTGAGATACATCACTTCTGGGGTGCTATTTTCAAAGTCGAGAGAATTCATTTCTCTCGAGAGAAATGTCATACGTCAACGTAAAACAGTATTTTTAGGGTCCTAAGGGCCAGTGTAAACTCACTGATTGTTTCTCACGGTTTATTTAGAGATAATTAATATCCTCCTAAGAATTTTAATCCTCGAGGCCTTTAAAAACAGCGTTTCCACATTGACGTATGACATTTCTGATGAGAATCTTGAGAGAAATGAGTACTCACACGGTTTGAAAATAGGTCCCCAGAAAATATAGTTCCCTCCATACAATTTGTATAAATGGAACGATATTTTCAGAAGCTATATCAAGCTAGCAGGCACTCTGTGGCGGCACCATACAAGACCTGGTGGGTTTTTTGTAGCTTTTTTGTAGCTTTTTTGTTACGCTATTTGCGAATTTGTAGCTTTGCCCAGGTCCGAAAAAACAGCGGATCCGCTAGCTTGAATTTCCATAAATTCCATAGTAGCGGCACAGATTCAGACCCAGCTGGTTTTTCGTAACTTTTTTGTAGCTTTTTTGTTACGCTAGTCTATCTTTCGTAGCTTGTACTGAACCTGAGAAAAGCGCGGATCCGCTAGCTTAGCGGATATTTTTAGCGGCACCAGCTCGGACCAGGCTCATTTTTTGTAACTTTTTTGTAGCTTTTTTGTTACACCTGTCTCCATTTCGTTGCGAGGCCTGAACGTGAGTAATAATCGTTTCCCCATGAGCGTGAGAGAAAAGTGCGTTAATTAAAATCAAGTTTCAGCCTCTACAAGTAATATGTGCAACTCGATGGTATGACTATTTGTTGATAGATGGCACCAGTATTGCATTTCACGAATTATGGCCATCTTCCATTCAATATATTTTTGAGAAATTTAAATATAATCTCAAAATCGGACATTTTCAACGGTATGTATATTAATTATTTGTTCGATATTAATGTAAAATACATATTGACAAGATTATTAAAATAGTTGCATGCCGGATGCCACTATTTTCCCGATCGGGTGTTTTCGGTTATTTTTACTGCTAAAAACTTACTGCTAACTTCACACCGGTGGTAATAGCTACCAAGCAATTACCTATTCTCACTATATACATAGTGTTCCATCTCAGACGAGCCACCCCGTATAGTTCTTATCCCATAGTAATGGGCCATGTTCACATGTGAGATATGCTGTTTTATAAATTATATTGTAATAGTTAGTCGCTATACAAGTTATTCTAAATAATCAGTTCGTTAAAAAAGCCAAAAGTTTTTAAATTAAGCCCAATTGAAATTTAAAATTTGAAATGTATACGTCATCGGAAATAGACCAATCAGCTTGTGTCGAAGTTTTTTTTGTTATACAAAACCAAGCCAACGAACAAACCGACACACAGAAGACGAGTTCGGTTAGTCAGGGGCAGGAGCGGGAGAAAAGTGTAGTTTTTTAGGGTACTTTTAAATTACATTTAAGCGTGTTAAACTGTCACTAATTGGACTAAACCACATACTTTTAAAGAGGTCTAACACGCCCAACATAGGGCGCGGCCATTTTGACTGTTTTACTACTATGTTAGGCAACACATATTTATCGAAAATGTTAAACTGGTAGCCGCCTACCTCTTGATATTTTGAGATTTCAAGTGAAGGTAATAAATGTACTAGAAGAAACGTTTATTTATTTTAAATAATATACAAGAAACTTCTTTAAAGTTGTAATTTCGAGTGCATTTTGAAATAGAGGTGAGTAATTATCCTTCCTCCATGGAGGTGAGTGGTTTTAAATTATTTTTAAAGCTGTGCATATGATTTTACCTTAATATTATATTTTTCGCCATTTTATTTTTGTAATATAATAAAAATATTTGAGGCTAAACAATCTAATATTACCTATATTTTGCATTTTTTCAGCTGTAAATATGGTACGAAACTATATAAAGTAATAACAAAGAAATGTAAGAAAGAAGAAGTTCTAAAAGATATTACCAGAGGACACCTTTATTTATACCCTCTAGAAGTTCAAGCAAAGAAATTGTGAAAATTTAGGAAAGGAAATCGAATGTAAAAAAATCAAAATATGGTAGTAAAGAAGAACTTTTGGTTAAGTATCTACAAATCACTATGGTTTAAACCATGCTCAAGTGATATCTTTAGGATACAAGCTATGCCAAATATATAATATACACGCAGGATGTTCTAACTCTACTTTTGAGAGCTTTCTCAGAATAAGGCAACGAGAGCTATTTTAGGATGTAGCAGATATAGCATTCAGCTTATGTTGACTACGTTGAACTGGTTGAATATGGGACAGTTTCTATGTGCAAGCAATGACCTTTATTTTTTAAATAGTAATTAATGTATTGAATTGTCAACTTACTCCTATTTCTTACATACATCAGTACCATACAAAAGTTGCGAATTCTATTAATTTTTGTGTTATAACAAGTAGGAACGCAGAGTTTAAATTAATCAATTATCTCATGATATAAACTCCCTTTAAAAAGCTAAATTATTTTAACAGTAATTAGTTAAAACTTTCAGCTAAGTCCTCTTGTGTGTGTTTGTTATTTTGTCATCGCTTATTTATTTATTATGTATTTATTTTCAAATACTCTCTACTTTTGTACATTTATGTAGGTATTTTCTTATTTTTTGTATGAATTAAATATAATCTAATGATCCATATATGAATGGTTTTTTTATGTTTCTAAAAAGGTTTTTAATCTTCGTGATGTGTATACAGAACACAGAGTGAGATGATGCAGGCCATATAGTTATATTATTTAAATGTTTATATATAATTGACAAATAAACATTATTATTTGATAGCTACTTTAGTTTGAAAATTAAATATTTTGAGTTTATTACCAAATTAAGTATTTAAGTAATATTTTCGTTTTTTTTTTTACTTGAAAATAGGGGGTTGCCGGTTCAAGCCTCAAATATACGTCAAAAGATGTCCCCCAAAGAAAATCATCCGGCGTGTTTCGGGAAATTTTTCCAATTACTATGGGATAAGAAATATGGGGGTGGCTCGTCTGAGATGGAACACACTGTATAGTTGTGATCCGACAGAATTAAACACTGGTCCATAAATACTGCAAAACGATTGGTTAAGGAAATCATTCAAAAAAGATGTAAGAATATTCTTGATTCACAAAAGTATAAATACATAAACAACACTAAAAAACATTTAAAAACAAATGTCCGATTTTGAGATTATATCTAAATTTCTCAAAAATATATTGGATGCAAGATGGCCATAATTCGTAAAATGCAATACTGGTGCCATCTATCAACAGATAGTCACACTATCGAGTTGTACATATTACTTGAAGATGCCGAAACTTGATTTTAAATTAACGCACTCTCACGCTCATGGAGAAACGATTATTAGTCACGTTCAGGCCTCGCAACGAAATGGAGACAGGCGTAACAAAAAAGCTACAAAAAAGTTACAAAAAATGAGGCTGGTCCGAGCTGGTGCCGCTAAAAATATCCGCTAAGCTAGCGGATCCGCGCTTTTCTCAGGTTCAGTACAAGCTACAAAAGGGAGACTAGCGTAACAAAAAAGCTACAAAAAAGTTACGAAAAACCAGCTGGGTCTGAATCTGTGCCGCTACTATGGAATTTATGGAAATTCAAGCTAGCGGATCCGCTGTTTTTTCGGACCTGGGCAAAGCTACAAATTCGCAAATAGCGTAACAAAAAAGCTACAAAAAAGCTACAAAAAACCCACCAGGTCTTGTATGGTGCCGCCACAGAGTGCCCGCTAGCTTGATAGAGCCATTTTCAGCTGTGGTGTAGCTCAGTGCTACACTTTCGATGCAAAGGAAAAGACCTATAGTAATGTCTACTTTTGCTGCGTTTGAGAATCCACATCGGATGCATCTGAGATGTAAAAAATCTTTGATCACGTGATTCAGTCGCCGCGTTTGAGAATCCACATCGGATGCATCTGAGATGTAAAAAATCTTTGATCACGTAATAAATGTAATGGGATAGATGTGTCCAATGTGGATAAAAAAACGCTCGAGATGTAAAAAATGCATCCGATGTGGATTCTCAAACGCAGCATATATACGTAAATGTAATGGGACAGATGTGTCCGATGTGGATAAAAAAACGCTCGAGATGTAAAAAATGCATTCGATGTGGATTCTCAAACGCAGCATTTACTTTTTGGCAATTGACAGTTGAAGTTGTGCACAAAACACAAAGAAAAGAAAATCAACATTTCATTTCACATGATTGATGAGACGAGTGCAACAATTTGAGAATATAATTTAAATAAATTCATCAGAGTACAGTTTTAATTTACTTTGGGAAAGTTAAAAAGTTCATCCTTCGATATTATATATTGTTTCAAACTAACTTTGTGTTGTAGTTAGTTAATAAATAATAAGTTGTTTGAGTAAAGTTTTTCAAAATGTCAAGAATACTCAATCTAAAGTGGTTTTGGAGCTTGGTATTATTTTTAGGACTTTTTATAGTAAGTTATGCAAATGAAGACGTGCCATTATCAAAACTTAGCCAAAACGTTGGAACACCAACATTAAAATTCCAATACTGGTAAGATATTTAATGATATTTTTATTAGTTTTTAATCCTATGGTGTTTTTAGTTATTCCTGTGGATACAAGAAAATGTACGATCAGTACTCTACAATAGTAAATCAGAAGTATCCTTATATACTAGTGGATGGAGTTAATTATGATCCTCCTGGACTTAACATGCTCATAGCAAAAGCACTAGTAAGTCCACATTTATGTAGATAACATTGTTAATTAGCTGGCAAATCAATATTTACTGAAACCTTAGAAGAATAATAATTCATTTTAGCATGTATACAGTCGCATTAATTATGGTTTCCATTTCTTAAAATAATATCTTTTTAAATAAATAATATATTTTTTCACTGAAATGTGCATGTTAATTAAATACCTTGAAATACTGAACATTTAGTAAATAATAAATGAACTTTGACTAATTAAAAAATGAACTTTGAGTAATTAAAAACTTATTAACCTAAGTATCCATACACCTAGTGATAATGTTATATTTGTAGATAAATGAATTTAATTGGAATTATTTAAGACTTAAGAATTATTATTTTTTTACTTTTAAAACAATTAAGAAACTAAAATCAATTTTAAAAAAAGAGATACCTAAGTAATTTAGGTTCATTGGTCACTGAGCAATTTAAAGAATTTTCAACCTTGAGACCAACCAGTTATTTTGTTTCATATATTTTTGCAATATTGCTTCCATATCTACATTCTCTATTTTAAATTTTTTTAGGGATGGATTAAAATGGCGTTTATTCTGTGCATTCTTGCAAATATAAACATATTTGAATACATAAATCAACCAAGGCCATCTTGGTATGTCTGGTGCACTGAGAATAGATTATATGCTTGCATGATGCTATTCTTCCTCTGCAATATTCTTGAGGGTCAACTAATTCAGTCCGGAGCGTTTGAAATAACTCTCAATGATGTTCCTGTATGGTCTAAGCTAGAAACTGGACGTATTCCTCAGCCTGCAGAACTGTTCCAGATCATCGATAGTCACATGCAATTTGATAGCAAAATAGAACTGAATAATTACGCGAAATAGTGTTAGGTTATTTTTGTAAGATATGGGAGATGGAAGTACTGTACATTGTAGATTATTTAGTAACACACTGTTTTCCTTGTTTCTGTATATTTCCATTCAAACTGATATATTTTTGAATGCATGAGATTTGTGACGATTACCAACCTACCTGTTTAGTGATTGTATTCAGTTTTAATGATAAAGATTCTTTTTTACAATTTTTCTTATTTTTTATAAATCCTATCAGTAATATTTAATTGATTTTTAAATAACAAATCTAAAATCTCAATTTTAAATAATACTAGCAGTTTCTTTTCTCAAAAAGGATGTGTGTATAAGCACTTGGTTAAATTTTATCCAAATTTTATAATTTTACAGTTGATGGGATATAAATACTAGGATTTTATTTATACAGCAAGAAATAAAAGTTACTTTGGGGTCTTACTTTTATTTAGAAATACACATGCACGTGGAGCTGGAATAAAACAGATTTTAAGGGCTAGTTAAGTTAAAATTGCTTTTTTAAAGGCTGATTCTTCTGGCGATTGGAACCTGTGACTACCAATACAATAATGTATGATATGTCAAGATACATGTAGTGGACAAAACACAATTTAAAATCTACATTTAAATATACATACATACATAACACATACATATACAGGGTGTTTGATAAGTACGGTAAATAACTTCAGGAGGGTATTATGGAGCTAAAATAAAGGTATTTTTGTCATATACACTTTCTCAAAATGCTTCGTTACGGAGTTTCATTAAAAAAATACAAATGTTTAAATATTTCCAAAACCACTGATATATTTTAATTAAATTTTTGCAGCTTTTGAGAGTTAGCAACGTTGCGTGTTTTACTGTAAACACAGTGGCTTTCGTTTAACAAGTGGCGTGCGGACAAGGTAATAGCTGAAAAATATGGAAGGAAAAATGTGTTACGCCGCTGTTCTTTTTCAATATTTAGTTTTTTGATTGTTCGATTTGGAAGACAAGTATTAGAAATTAAAAATTTAAAAAACCGACTTCAAAAACGTGCAGATGCCATCACCACATCTTAACCAAATTTATATGGGACCACCCCTGAGGTACCCCCTTACTAACAAAAAAAAGAATCATATAAATCGGACAAGGTGGTAAAGCATTATGAAAAAAATGAAGAGTTTGAGGATTTTCTCATGGACCCAATTATTAGATTTTGACTAAATTTATATGGGACCACCCCTGAAGTACCCCCTTTCTAAAAAAAAAAGAATCATTAAAATCGGACAACGTGATAAAGAATAATCGTTGAACATACATAACAAAAAAATATCGCGACGAATTGATAACCTTCTCCTTTTTTGAAGTCGGTTAAAAAAAAGGTCCCTTGACTTTTTTCATGAATAACTACAGAGCCATTTTTATTTTTTTTTATTATTTAACTACAAATAACAATCATAAATAATCACTTATAACAAAGAATCAAAGCAAATGTTGAAAATGGCCACCTTCTTATAAAACGCACGATTCCAATCGTCTCCTTATTGATTGTCTTACTCATTCAAAAACTGGAATATTTCTTATGGTATTACAACCTTGAATTATTCGATTTCATAAATAATTTTTATTTAATACAGGTGATTTAAGGTGACCCTATAAATAAAAGTCCAAGGGATTAAGATCGGAACTGCGAGGTGTCCAAGCTTGAGGACCTCCGCGTCCAATCCAGCGATTAGGAAAAGTGTTGTCGAGGTATTGGCGAGCAAGAAGGCTAAAATGGGCTGGTGCACCATCGTGCATGAACCATAAATCTCCTCTTACTTGCAGAAGCACTTCTTCTAAGACACCATTTAGTTCTTCATGTAAAAACTGAGTATACGAATCACCATTCAGTCGAGGGGGTAAAAAGTATGGTCCAATAAGATGGTCATCAATAATCCCTATCCATACATTTAGTGAAAATGTTTGCTGATAGCGACCTTCTCCCATTGCATGAGGATTCTCCTCAGTCCATAAATGTTCATTATGAAAATTAATAATTGCTTCTCGCGAAAAAGTTGCCTCATCAGTAAATAAAATTAAGGTAAAAAAATTGAAGATATGAGCAACTTTATGGAGTACCACTTACTAAAATTTAGCCTTACGCGATACATTGGCGTACAAAATTATTAGAAAAATCAGCATCTACATAGCCAACAATATTTTTATCATTTTTAAAGAAAATTAGACTCTTATTCATAGTTCCTTTCAAATAATTTAAAGTTCTTTTAGCATGTTTAAAATGTTCATGACCAAAGGAATTATTAAATTGATTTAAGTAACTAATACTATAACAAATGTCGGGTCTTGTATGAACAGCTAAATACATTAATGACCCTATTAAATTTTGATATGGAACCTGAGGCTTTTCATTATTATTTGGTTTTAATTTTAAACCTACTTCAATTGGAGTCAAAACAGTTTTAGCCTCATTTAAATTAAATTTTTCTAACAGTTCTAAAATATATTGTTTTTGGTTAACTTTAATCATATTATTTTGTTTATCATGCTCAATGTTTGATCCCAAAAAATATTTTACTGGTCCTAAATCTTTGAGCTTATAAAATGTTTTGACAATTCTTCTTTAACATAATTTTTTAAAATCGAACAATTTGAACACAGCAAAAAATCATCAACATATAAAGCAATAATTATTACAGATTATCATTTTTAAAGAAAAGACATGGCTCATACTTTGATTGTTTAAAATTTAATTCAAATAAAATATTTTTAACTTTTAAATTCCAAATTCTTGACGACTGTTTTAAGCCATATATAATAATATATAAATAAAACATCACCTTTAGCTTCAATATTCATATGCTGGCCATTTGCAACATTAATTTTATTTGATTTTACATATTAAATTTTTTTAAAATAGTTAAGGTCATTTGTCATATGACTAATGGCTCCGGAATCTATAAACCATACAGGTTTTGAATTTTTATTTGTAACAATGTTAAAACAAAAATCTGACTCATCTTCTTCAACTTGTTCATCAAACTCTTCATCAGACATCATGTCAACTACAAGTGCTTACTCCTTACTTGCGAAAAGTAAACTATACGTCCTCACTTGCAAACAGATAAAACAGAAGTGAGCTAGACAAGCAACAAACAGGGACACTGTTATCCTAATTTCGTTTTGACACTTAAAAGCGCGACATCTAAGTATTTACTAGGGCTTAGTTTATTCTGAACAGTTAGAATATACTAACTTACCACTGGTAAGCCCTAGTATAAACTAACTACTTTTAGCAAGTTATTCATACGAAATTGAGAATGAGCTAAAACTAGTTAGAAAATACTACCTAGAATATTCTAGTTTTATTCATTCCACCCATTAAGGTAAGGTAAGGAAACTAAGGCTCAACTGAAATAGTTTCCGTGTTGCCTAACGACAAAATGAAACGTTACAACGTTAATAGAAAAAGATATTTGTTTTTGATGAAAATATTGAAAAATCAAATGTAGAAATAGCATTTATTTTATTAACAAACTATTTTTGGCAGTGCTTACGATCTATTACACACACACATACAAATGAATCACAATGGAGTTATTGTAACAAGCTTAATACAATTAAAAATATTATAGACTATGGCACCAAATTAAAACGTTGGTTACTTCTTTCTAACATGCTCTATTGCTTGGCCAATAGAGAATCGAATGTACATTTTTGATTCCCTCTTAAATCAAGTAAAATTAAATTTTAAGTAGGAAAATTGTTAAGGTAAAATATCTATACTTTACTTAAAATATAAATATATACTGTACATTAATTACATTAATTTAAATTTATGGCACAATTGAAGTTCAATGACCCGGTCTAGCTTGTGGTCTTCTCCTTCTGTAACCAGGTCGTCCCGGGTATCTCTGTGTAGAATGTAGCTGTCTATAACTAGAACTGCTTGCCGAGGATGGTCTATAATTTCTAGCTGGGCTTGAGGGATTATATTCTGCTGGTCTAGGATTACTTACTGAGGATGGTCTATAATTTCTAGGTGGACTTGGGGGATTATATTCTGCTGGCCTATAGCTAGGGTAAGAAGGTTGATATGATGGCCTATTTCCCGTAGGCCGATAGGGTTGTGGTTGTACTGGCCGATTAATCTCGCTAGGAACTTCTATGGGAGTAGTTACTGGTCGATAAAGTTGTATACGTTTCCTTATACAGACAGCACACCTACTAATTTTCTGTGTAAAACCAGATTTCAACGTTTCTGGTCTAGGTTTACGGAACATTGCGTAATCTTCAATTGTTGCTAGCCAGTATGATACAGCAGTTGTATAATAGTTACATCTACCATGAGCGTGACATTCGATAAATGGTTTTGGTCTGAATTCTTCAAGACACGAACCAGGTGATACCAGAGATTGACCAGAACCATCTGCTCCAGCATCAGTGTGCTAAAATGGTGGTTTAATTTTATTATCATAGCAAAGTTCCCATATTTATGTTAATATTGAATTCACTTATTGGACTTACCATCAAGAAACTATATCCAAACCAGACTGCTTCCCATCCAGATGGACATTGTGGAACTTCTACTTCCTGACTATGGACAGCTATGACTCTCGTTGGAGCCTCACATACAGAACACCTGAAAATGCATTTTAAATCATAAAATTGCTTAATTACTTAAACTCATTGCTTAATTTATACCTTGAGATGTATCGCTGCACGTTTTGGGCATCAATAGGGGTCATAGTCATAGGCATAGGTTCAGTTGTAGATAACCAGTAACTGTACTCATTACTTTGCGCATAGTCACAGACATCATTAATGTTACAGAATAAGAATGGCATTGTGTTGAATTTTCTTAAACAACTTCCAGGAGCACCTATAAGTAAAATGAAATTTTCGTAAAACTATAGAAAGTATTGCTAATATTGATATAACTAACCTAAATCTTGTCCAAGAGCTCTTTCGTTACCCATTATGTGTAATAAAGAGTATCCATCCCACATTTTGACGGTGTTTTTGGGGCAAACTGGTACAATTTCCGATTGGGAATGTCTTGTAAAGTGGAATCCTCTACTTTGGGGTGCAGAATATTGAGGAGCAGCGTCACCTCTTGCTCCTTGCGCCCCTCGGTAACCCTTAACTCCGATGCGTCCTCTGAATCCTGGTGATCCTTGGAGACCTTTAGGCCCATTCAAACCTGGTATTCCGGCTAGACCCATGTCTCCTCGTTCTCCCTTCTTTCCTTTAGCTCCTTCTAATCCCGCACGGCCTGACAATCCTTGTAAACCAAGTATTCCGTTAAATCCGGGTAAACCAATTTCTCCAGGCTCCCCTGGTAAAGAATCTTCGGCCCAGTCTCCTTGATTACCCTTTTCTCCTTTAAGACCGTTGAAACCTGGCAGGCCATCAAGTCCAAAGTTACCAGGTAAACCTTTTAGACCTTCAGGTCCACGGGGTCCATCTAATCCGTCTAATCCTAAATCACCGCGTTCTCCCTTTGTTCCATTAAATCCTGGCAGTCCCCTAAATCCAGGTTCTCCAGTCGCTCCCTTTGCACTATAAGCGGAATATCCATAATCTCCTACTAAACCTTTTTGTCCTAGTGGTCCTCTTCTTCCTTGTACTCCTGGCCTTCCTTCAGAGCCGGGCCTTCCTGGGAAACCAAGTAAACCATTGTCTCCTCTTTCACCTTTTACTCCGGGCATTCCTAGACCTGGCATTCCTGCTCGTCCTATAGGTCCGTCTAAACCAAATTCTCCTGGTGCACCTTTTTGACCAGGATATCCCGCACGTCCAGGTATACCATCAAATCCTGGCCTTCCTCTTTCGCCGGGTTCTGGGAATTGTCCAGGTAATCCAGGCGGACCCGGGGGGCCATTGTCACCTCTGCTACCATCTAGACCTGGATAACCAGGTTCTCCTAATAATCCCCTGAAGCCCATGTCTCCTCTCTCTCCTTGTGATCCAAAGGGTCCAGGGAAACCGATATCACCCATGATACCTTTAATTCCTGAAATAGAATTTGTGTTGTCTATTTATTTCCATTTACAATTATATTTTTTGATAAAAATATGTCACGTCCACTTTATAGTTAAATTCATCGTTTTATGAGAAAAATAAGGTTTTTACAAAAATTACTGTTCAAACAATTTAAATCGACAGAGCAGTGTGCTGTCTCTAACGTTTCCAGTTCTACAAATGCTAACAATGCTTTATCTAAAGTCGTCATTCTTGTCAATTTCTGTGTAAACAAGGAAACTTTTGACTCTCCCTATCGTTCTACATTTTACATTCAATAAATAAGAAAATGATTTGTGCTTGCTGATTTACTACTTACCCATTATTCCATCCATTCCATAATCTCCTATGTCACCTTTTTCAGCGAAGCCATAAGGTGCAAATCCAATTTGTCCTCGATTACCCTTAATACCCTTTGCCCCTTGTAATCCAACTAGACCAGGATAACCGACATCACCGGGCATTCCAGGTCTTCCTATTAATCCAGGTTCACCATCCATACCACGCTCACCTTTGGTGCCATTAAATCCAAAGAATCCGATATCTCCTCTTCTACCTTTAAAACCAGGAGCACCGTTAAGTCCTGGTGTTCCAGGCAAACCATATGTTCCTTTATCTCCTATTGGACCCGGGTATCCTACTATTCCATGGTCTCCTTGTTCTCCCTTAAGTCCTGGGACACCATTATATCCATCCCTTCCTGGTTCTCCTGATTCTCCTTTAAATCCAGTTGGACCTACGACATCTCTTCCTGGATCTCCTGATAAACCGGGTAGACCAGGCAGTCCTGGACGTCCATCAAATCCTTTTGGTCCGGGAAAGCCAGGTTCTCCGTTGTCTCCTTTTTCTCCGCTAATCGAATTTTCTCCTTTTTCTCCTTGCCATCCTGGAGTTCCGTCGTCACCTCGAAGTCCTGGTAATCCAGGTTCTCCAGAAAAACCTGGGGAGCCTTGGTAACCAATGTCTCCTCTTTCTCCTTTTCTGCCCACGTAACCTGATACACCTTTAGCTCCGGTATGACCACGTGGACCTGGAAAACCTATATTGCCTCGTTCACCTGGTGCTCCTGGAATTCCTGATAATCCATCGGTACCTCTATGTCCTGGATATCCCATTGGACCTTCATCTCCTAAAAATCAATATAAACCACAAAGTAAAGATTACGCTTAAATATTAAAAAAAGAAGGAAATACTCGAATCGATTAATAAATAAACTAACCTTGTAGTCCCCGAAGTCCATCAAATCCTGGTTCTCCCTTCGCCCCTGGCAAACCTATAGGACCCGATATTCCATCCTCTCCTTTTGGTCCTACATCTCCAAATTGACCTGGATATCCTTGCGGGCCCGGGGCTCCTGGTCTTCCAGGTATTCCGTGTAGTATTACTCCCCTTTGTCCTTTCGCTCCTTGTAATCCAGGAGCTCCGTAATATCCAGGTGCACCTTTTGACCCTCTTTCTCCTTTTACACCTGGTCGCCCAGGAATACCTGATCGTCCATCAGGGCCAAAATCTCCAGGTTCTCCTTTAGGGCCTCTAAATCCAACTATTCCAATATCTCCATTTAATATGGCTAATCCAGCTTCTCCGCGATCTCCTTTAGGCCCGTGAATTCCAGGCATTCCATCAAAACCTGGTTTACCGGGTAAACCTGAAGGTCCAGAGGAACCTTGGTCTCCTCTTATTCCTGGATAACCTTTAAGTCCTTCTGGTCCATCGAATGACATACCTTGGGCACCAGCTAAACCTGGACGACCTTGCAAACCTCCATCTCCTTTAAATCCTTTCGGACCAATTCGTCCATCATATCCTAAAACAAGTCAATAAATAAAGTATGTAAATGAAAAACCCTGCTATGGAAAGAGTTGATAATTTGTGTACCTGTATCTCCTATTTCTCCTTTAACTCCTTTGTCTCCGGTTTGTTTGTATAATAGTCCCACTATTATTCCAGGAAATCCCCTTTCACCAGGAGGTCCAGGTTCACCAATGTCACCTCTAAAATTTAGTTTGTTATAATATTGAATATCGTAATACTGATATTTTTATTGTTTAAAAATTATATGCTTTTGACTTACCTAGGTCCCGTAAAACCTCTATCACCAAGTAGTTGTAACTTTGAGAAAAGAGCTTGTTCGCCCTTTTCACCTGGGAAACCTGGTTTTCCGTCGAATCCGTCCTTCCCAGGGCGTCCGGGTTCACCGATATCTCCTGTCAAACCTTTGGGACCGGGTAATCCTTCATCCCCAAGCTGGCCTTTTATTCCAGGAGGCCCTTCTGGTCCAACTGGACCCGGATAACCGACGTCACCTATTTCAGCTTCATCCGGTTTGATTTGATTTTTTGAAGGGTATATTAGAATTCCTGGATATCCGTCGGGACCTGGTACTCCTTCTAAACCATCAGTACCTGGTGTACCGTCTAATCCCATTGCTCCTGCAAAACCTGTTCTTCCATCTTTGCCTCTAGGTCCACGTGGACCAGGTAATCCTTGATATCCAATAGTTCCTGGTCTTCCAAATCTACCTGCAGTTCCCGCATCTCCCTTTACTCCAGGTAAACCTAATAATAAAGTGAGAATTTAGCAAGAAAATATGTAATTAGGATTTATTATCAATATTATTTACCTGGTCTACATACTCCACAATCATCACCTCTTCGTCCTTTTAGGCCGGGGAAGCCGTCCATACCTTGATATCCTGGATCTCCTGTAATTCCGGGTAAACCTCTCGGACCCGGATCACCCGGCGGTCCTCTTATTGGCTGACCTTTACCTGGAAAACCTTTGAAACCAAAATCTCCAGCGTCTCCTCTGTCACCTCGTGGTCCGTCGTAACCTGGTTGACCTGGAATACCTCCCGGTCCCGGTGGCCCATATACTGTTTCTCCGGGAAATCCTTTTTCTCCTAGTGGGCCTGGTGGACCTGATAATCCAGGAGGTCCTGTGTTACCAGGAAGGCCTGGTAAACCATCGAAACCTCGTTGTCCTTTAATCGATAAACCTAGAAAATGTATATTAATAAACATTTCTTTTCTTCCGACACGTGAAACAACTATTATTTATGAAATAATATTGGCCCTCATACCTTTTAAACCTGGCAATCCAGGCCTGCCATGCGGGCCGGGCATACCGGGTTCTCCTAGTGGACCTGGTGGTCCTGGTTGGCCTGGAATTCCTGCCATTCCTCGTTCTCCCACAGGTCCGTCGGGTCCTTGTCTTCCCGTGTTTCCCTCTTTACCTGGTTCATCAAATAGAGGATCGTATACTCCTGGTGGTCCTTCTTTACCTTGAGTACCCGGAGTACCTGGATACCCGAATTCACCACGTTCTCCTTTATTACCATCAGAACCGTATTCTCCTTCGTATCCCGGCGCACCTTTGTCTCCTTTTTCACCATACGGCCCGCGAGGTCCTGGTCGCCCTTGTTTACCAAAAGGACCGTCGTCTCCCGAGTCTCCCTTGAAACCCGCTTCTCCTTTTCGTCCAGGTATTCCCTAATTAAAAATGGATATTTAGGTACCAGCTTTTATTTTTATTAGTAATGTAAACTTACAGCTAAACCTCTGTCTCCTATATACCCTTTCCTTCCCAGGTCACCCCGTTCTCCTTTTTGTCCTTGATCTCCGGGCTCTCCTTTTAAGTTAATGACATCAATATTTCCAATCCATGGATTATTGGCGAAGCCTTCGCCCTTTTCTCCTTTTATACCTTGATCCCCATCATCACCTCGTTGTCCAGGTGCACCAGGTCTTTGATCGCCAGGATCACCGACAGGTCCGCTGGGTCCTGGTGCCCCAGCGAATCCCTAAAAGAAGTAGATAATTATGTAATTGTGTTATCTTCGTATTTAATTTTTAAGATCAAACCAGTACCAAAATAAAATATGGCTACTATAAAAAAAATACTTACTGAGTAGCCAGGAGATCCACGATATCCAGGTGGACCATCGGGACCCTCGAAACCAGGAATACCCGGAGGACCGTCATAACCAGGTATGCCCATTTCTCCTTTTACTCCCATGGAATTACCGCCTCCATCTCCCGCTTCTCCTCGGGGTCCTTGATGTCCCTCAGGACCTGGAATACCTCTTATACCTGGTCGGCCTGGAACTCCGGTAACTCCATGTGCTCCGTCTGTACCATTACAGCCATCAATACCTGCTGAACCTCGCACACCAGCTTCACCAGTGTCTCCCTAAAACAATATTCAAATAATATTTTTCAACCGAAATGCGTTCTGTGATTATTCTATAGCTTTGCTGCTCTAATTATACTCACAAATAGAATAAATATCTTAATCAATTTTCTAATATTATTTTAGATTGTCTAAAATGGGCCACTGCATATTTTAAGAAAAATGGTAGGTACCTAATAATGGTGTGATCGTAGAAAAAATATTGTGTGTATTTGAGCAGAAAGTTTCACACTCGCGTTTAGTCACATACTTACAGAGGTTGATATTTTGTGATGTGAAACCGTTTGCGCTTATTTACTGAGTGTTTGATAAAATAATACAGAAAAAGACGGCCATTTTTATATAAATACACCTAAACTTATACAACCAATTTATCAAAAATGTCAAATGTGTGCAGAGATATTTTGTTTATTAATATTATTTCTAAATTCATAAACGTTCTATTATTTTAAAATTGTTTAGCATTTTTCTACACCGTTGCATTTTAATATAAAAAGTAGGATTTAAACTTTTTACTTACCGGTCGACCAAGTATACCTATCATTCCTTGTAATCCTTCGTCTCCCTAAAACATAATTAAAGTTTCTTATTTAGTTTAATAATATCAAAAAGTAATTGAGATTCAAACAATAATCATAAAAACACGTTTTTCAACTCATTTTGAGTTAGAAATTATTTACCTACATTTCCTCAACTAAGAAACCAAAATAATTTTATTTCCTTTTCTGATAATTCAAAGTAGTCATTCCCAACTTAATTTAATAAAATTAGGTGTGATCTGCGTGTCAAACATTTAAATAATTATCTAGAAAAGAGCTGCAAATTTAATAATTCATAGCAATAGAAGAATGTAGTATTCAACTCACAAAGAATGCTGATTTTCTATTCGTATGATTTACAGCACTCGCCTATGCCTCAATTTGAAAATTTCATCCTCGTAGGAAGTGAGTATCATTACTTGTTTGATAGTATGCCTTATACTTTTGAAGAAATGCTTTTAAATAAAGTTATTTTGGAACTAGTGAATGCAGTTAATGTTATTTTTCTATCCCTGCACTATAATTTGTTAATTAAGTAAATTTACTATTAATAAAAACCTATATTTTGCAATAATCAAGTAGGATTCTAGGTATTTAAAAATTAAAAAAATGCTTAGTACTTTTGGACATTTGGTAATTCTTTTTTATAACATTGTATTATATACGATGTTTTTTTCTTGGAACTATGTATAGAAAAATTAAAGTTTACTTACTCTGGGTCCTTTATCTCCGCCAGCGCCATACTCCCCATCAGATCCTTTTTCTCCTTTTGGACCTGAAGGACCTGGATAACCAACATCGCCATAATCTCCTGGCCTGGCAGGCATTCCGCGAATACCTTCGACACCGAAAGCTCCTTTGAGTCCTGTGCAATTGCATTTGTAATCCTTGAATGCATTCGGACATCCTCCACATGCCTGAAAAAAAAATTTTTTTGTTAAAATAAAATAATAAACTGTTTGAATTAAATAAACGTTACAGTAATATAGAAACATTTACTAATGTCATTTAAAAATATACTAAAAAGCAGGGATTCTAAACAAGACACTTGCGTACACTAGAAGTTACTGGAAGAGTTTCAGATTTTGAACTATTTGTCGCGACATATTGACGGCTATCATTCAAATATAAAACAAGAAAATAAAATGTTTTGATATTTTGTAAACCTTGTCAAAAATTTTCGAAAATCGTTGTAAAATTGAAGTAAATATGTATAACTATTGATAGGGCCCCCGCTACCATATGTGCAAAATGTGCGCACACGGGCGCCGTCCTCTAGGGGCGCCAAAACCCAGGATCCAAAAAAAAAAAAAATGCAAAAAAACCAAAAAATATCCTCCTTTTGAAATTTGAAACCCAAGTTATGTATCACTTGCCATAGACTTGTTCTGCCAATGTCGTCAAATTTTCCATCTATTAATTCCGAGAGAATTGAATTTAAGGTCACATGTTCCTTGTTGACCCTCATTCGATAAATGGTATCACGAATTTCAAATTTCTTTCCATCTGGAATATCTTTCGTTTTCAATGATGGGCGAGTTTTGCGGTGATCTTCTTTCGGCAGTTCACTATTGTGATTTTGTAATACTCCTCTTAATTTGGTTTCACTAATTCCTAGAGCATCGCATACGCGTTGTTGTACAAACATTACCGATTTTAAAGGACCGCCATTTCTTTTTTCATCCGTAAAATACTTATGTACACTACAAATTAGACTATCTACATCTAACACACGTCTAGGCATTTTTAAAATTTCCACTAAATTTACAATATACATACAATATCAACACTTGCAAAGAATCAATTCAACTGCAATATTTGTAACAAATTTAGTACCTACCCTAATGTTATTTTAATTTAAATCTGACCATTAGGGCAATTTTACCTAATTTCTTGGGAAGAGGCTTATTGGAACTGGTTGTCAATGACTAATTTGCATAATTTTGTTAATCCGAAACCCGCGTAAGTATAGCGAACAGACTGTACCTACCTATCTTCAAAAATATAAATAAAAAAACCTGATCCAAATTGCCTTAAGGGGCGCCAAAATCCTTTTTTGGACACAGGCGCCAGTAGCCTTACGCAGTAAATACTATTATTTTTATTAGTGCATTAGTTTTAAATACCTTCAATATTAATGATAAAAATTATACAGCAAATGGGTATGGCATACCTATACAAGTAGACAAATATAGTTGTTCAATTAGTTATGGTACAAACACCTTTTAACTGGCTGGGTTATTTCTTAGTTGACATCATGTTATTGGTTCACGATTGGTAAACTAATAAAGCCGTCAACAAATTATTCACATAACAAAAATAAGTACACAATAATGAAACTATTAAACAAAAATTTAAGTAAAACTATATCTCCATCAATTGGCAGAACTTATAATCAATGTTTTTTTAGCTAGTTTAGATGACTCCCGACAAGTAACCCAATTTTTTTCAAACAGATGCCGAATTTTTTCTTCCATTTGTTGTATTACATTCCTTTGTAGTTGACATATTGTTTAATAACACTTGAGAACTATTTACATTAGGAAAATTAATAAGAATTCTAAAAAAATTATTTTGTATGTCATGAACATCTACAACGAATATTCAACATATCAATAAGAAGATTTTAATAAATTAGTGCTCATTTTAATGGCATAATTTTAGTTTCAAATTACTAGACAAACACTGTTTGTTTCAAAAGCCAAAGAATGGCTTTATGGATTTTCAAATAATAAACAGAAGAAGTTTCATGTTAAGAGTAAGTTTATATTTCCGGAACTATTAACCTACAAAATACTTTGGTTATGCAACCGGAATAGGTATTTTGGGATGTAAAGTAAATGCAAAATTAATTTTGTTATTAGATAGTGGAAAAAAGTTACGTTCTCTGCTGTTCACTATTGCGCTAAAGTTGCAGCTCTACAGGGTTTACTTAAAAACTGGATCCAAAAGTATCTTTTTAATTTTGTATCAATGAGACAAGGAGAGGAGAAAATTAATTAAATTTAAAATTCAGTTAATTAAAATTAAAATAGCCAAAAACAAAACTTTTTCAAATATATATTACACAATTTTTTTTAGTAGCAACTTCATTTAGATAAATAAATTATCACATAAGTTATGCTTATCGGAAATTTCAACACGAAAGGATAGAGTACCCGTGGTTTCAATGACATTTTTTAATATCTTATTATTCAGCCTTGATGATAGTGTACTATATATAATAAAAACAGCTTCTTATGATTTTCAGAAATAAAAAAATTTTAATATACAGTGTATTCCAGATTTTTTGTAAAATAGGATTTTCTTAAATATCGTAAACAATTTTTTACGTATTGTATTAAAAAAAATATATAAGAGGTTGTTTGGTATGAGAACATTTATTATTGACACATTTTTATAGTAGCCGCTTGGAAGGGGCTTTACATTGTATATTTTAAAAACTAAAAGATCCAATTTTTTTTGCATAATTTCGTAAATTTTCCTGAAAATACCTTAATTATTATGTCAAATTCACTAAAAACTTTCTCTTTTGGACTCAAAATTTGACTAAATACGTTCAAATCTTTAATTTATACATACGAGGATATATCAGTATATAACGAGACTGGTGCTATAACTTCTTTCAGAGGTAACATTTTATAACCCAAAAAATGAGACATAAAAGCCTTATATTTAATGTACTACCCCGCAAGTAGGCTTTGATTTAACTTTTGACATTTGTTACAAATTAATTAGGCATTCCAACGACCTGTCAAACAATAGGTGCCAGTGGGAAATTCTTGTATATCTAAGGGGGTAGCGACATAGTCTTGCAACTTGGACGCTATTTTTATTCAAAGTAGTAGTCGCCAAGCCTGCCAATTTATGAAGAAATGTATAGGTGGGTTTTTTAAATATTATTTTTATTGTGTTTGACATAAAATATTTAAATGTAATCCATTATTCATGATTTTACGTAAAGTAGATAGAATACACCATATGTCGCCACCCTTAGATATACCAAACCTGCCCACTGGTAATTCATTTGTTTGGAATGCCTAATTATTGAATTGTCAGTGTTTTGCGTACCCATCGAAAAATGAAAGTGGAGCAAAGATACGCGATAAAATTTTGTGTTCGATTGGGTAAAACACCAACTGAAACTTTTTAAATGATTAAAGGTGCATATCTAGATAATAGTTTATCACGATGTAGAGTGTTTGAGTGGCATAAAAAGTTTAAAGACGGTTGTGAATCAGTTGAAGATGAACCTCGTCCCGGTCGACCACAAACTGCGAGAAATGACACAAAAATTGCAGAAATTAACGACTTGATACAAAATGATCCCGGATTGGCATAAAACGAATTTCTGACAATGTTAATTTGTCTTACGGTACCACTCAAAAAATTATTCATGAAGATTTAGAGTACCGGAAGATCGCGGCAAGATGGATTCCAAAAGTGATGACCGATGAACAAAAAGCGAATCGATTGACAATTTGTCAGTAGTGGAAAAGGCAATTGCAACGTAACCCACAGTTTTTAAATAATGTGGTTACATGTGACGAAAGTTGGTTTTATCATTACGATCCTGAATTGAAGTCTCAAAGTATGCAATGGAAGCATAGAGGCAGCCCAAAATCGCAGAATGCCAAAACTGCTAAAAGCGCTGGTAAAGTGATGCACCTGATTTTTTTTGATAAATTTGGCGTTATTTACGATCACATTCCATTTGTTTCCTGAAGTCAAAAAAGAATTGAGAGGTAGAAGATTTGAGTCGGATTTAGAGCTCAACAACGCTGTGATGGGTATACTAAACAGACTATCAAAAAATGGTTTCTCAGAAGTTTATGATAAGTGGATAATGCGATGGAATAAGTGTATTCAACAGAATGGAGAGTACTTCGAAGGATAGTTGTTGAATTTTTTTAAATAAATGTTTCGTTGTTATACTATAGCACCAGTCTCGTTATTTCCTGATACATCCTCGTATAACTATAAAAATCTGCTAAGGTATTTCCTATGATAGGGGAAATGCCGGCCAATTGGTTCTTGAAAATTTGAAGGTAGGGAATATGCCGACAAATTAGTTCTCATGAACGAAACAACAACTTTTAACTGCAAAAATAATTTAGGGTATCCTGTTTTCAATTCCCCACTATGTATATTTTCTTTAAATGAAGCAAATTGACACTACCTTTTTAATACGTTTTTGTTGAAACTTCGGACTCTACTTTCTTCAGTTCCCATAATTCTCATTTCACTCCTGAATGTTAGTTTTAATTTCCTATACAATCATAGTTCAGTAAGCAATTAATTACAGTTGAAGTAATACGCCGGCAGTCCAATGATGTGAAATTGGAAATTATAGAGTAAGTTTCAGTGTGTGGGGTATCAAATGTTTACTTTGCACTACTGATTCTAATCAAACGTGAGTCGTGATCTTCTATTGATCAGAGGCGGCATATGCAAATGGGCAGTCGTACGTTTTCATAGAAATAAAATGGATTAGACTTGGAATGTATAATACGTTTCGTTTGAAGGAATTCTGGTCGTTAGCAATAAAGAGATTTTGATCTACGTTTAGGAGTTTAGGAGTTTCTACTATGAAAAACAAATCAAAATTGAAGAAATTTTAAAATTATCAAAATAATAACACTCATATAATTTGGTTTTTAGAAATATGACTAAACGTTTTAATAAAAGTTTTTCAAATATTTTAGATATTACTCGGAGGAAAATATTAAGTCGTTTCTTTCTGACGACAGAATAATTCATTCTTGACTGAAAGAAAATTAACACTCCTCCGTTACTTTTAATTTATTATATAGGGCAGTAGTTCTTATTGAGTATATATAATAGTAGGGGAGACTGAAGAGGGTTGAGCCAGAGAGAGGTTCGAGCCATAGTAACGTATCCTTTAATAAACTTACGT